TATTAAAATTTAGAATGTACATACCTTTCTGATTCAGTAATTCCTCCTAGGACAATTCTCTTAGGGAAATTAAAGCAGCACTACACAAAAATATACACGCAAATAAATACATGCAAGCATGTTTACTACAGCATTGTTTGACAGCAAGAATCGAAGGAAACAACTGTTGAAGGAAGATACTGAGATGTCCAGTGGAATTAATTCATATATACTGTGCTAAAAATGGAAATCACAGAATAATAAAAATTGGGCTATAATTTTTAAAAGCAGTATGTGTATGCTGTTTGAATAAAAAAAATCGAAAAGCATAGAATGGTAACATCAAATTGAGAGATGAATGAGAGGGAGATCAGAAACTGTTCATTTTTCTTTAGAAAACAAGAGAAACTTGTGATTCAAATGGTTGACTTCAAAAATTAGCCTTTAAAATGGACACACATAAAAAAGAGAAATAAATGTTGTTTGTCCTAAGATGTATTAAAACTTTTAACAAAGTAACTGATACACTGTGCTAGTATATTAATAGTCATAATTATACTATTTATTTACTGTATATCTGTATCTATAGATATATACATTATCTTTATAATCAATTATTCTATTAAGACAGCAATGAAAAGACAGATCAACAGCACAGGACAGCATCCAGAACAAAAATCTAGATTTACATGGATACCTATTAGTTGATGAAATGTACATAACAAGTCTGTGGGGGAACATGGGGAAATGGCTTACAACATTTTCTATGTGGCCAGCTAGGGAGAGTTAACCAGTCCCAAGATGGAGACATCTGGGGCAGGTGGTGGCATAGAGCCCAAAGTGGTACTATCCTAATGAGTTTTCAGGTAACACCGATGCTGAGGATCAGAACCACACCCAGAACACACTGGCCTGGACAGACCTCATCCCTACAGTTTCCGGTCAACCTGTAAATCCCATACAGAGGTGTGGTTGGGAGGGAGGTGAGCTGTGCTGGGTGCTTTGGGGTTGGGGTGACTGCCTGGGAACTGTCCATAGTGTTGGCAGCTGCTCAGCAGCCTCACTTTCTGGGCTCAGCAACTGCCTCAGAATGGGTCTGGCAGGATCTAGGGCTGGGCTTGGAATGCACATCTGTGCGTCCTGATCCTACTACTCTGCAGGGAGACCTGGATTTCTTCTCTACTGCCTATGGCATCAATGCAGTCAGCCAGGTGAGCACAGGTTACCAAGGACTTTCTTCTGATAATGGGTTTTCAAATTCAGTTATGTTCCTGCTCCTGTATTAGGTAACAGGTTAAAAAAATTTGCAAGGTTGATTTATTTTACTGTGACTTTTGTATTTTAGAAAGATTGTGTCCACGTCCCAACTAGTTTCCTCGGCTCCCCAGACTAAATGTTCCTCGTTGTTCAGTGTGTGGTGTGGTGTTACATCATATCACCTTTTTTTTATTAGCAATTCTCAATTGTCTGACTTCTCTAGCCTTCCAAGATGCTCCTTCCTCAACACACAGTTCAAAGAATTCCTCCAGCGGCTGCCTCTGCCCAGTGTCCTGCCCAGCGGCAGGAAGTGCCCCCAATTCATCTACTTCTTTCACTTACTCCTCTGAATGTGGGTTCTTCCCTAAATTCAGGCTCCTCTATGGCATTCACATATGGATTCCTGGTAGAGATTTTAAACTCTGGGGGAGAGGTTAGTGAGAAGCCAGGAACTGAAAATAAAAGGCATTTCTTTTAAGTTTCATTGTCTCTGGATTCCTTTGGGTCTGACAATCAGCCTATTATCATCACAGTGTATTATTAAATCTAAAATTGAAATGACCCCTCTTGGTGAAACGTCCCTTCGCATCACCCGAACTTGGTGCTGCTCACAACAAAGCTGGGAATGGCCTCTGTGCTTGTGCCATCACCTCACCTGTCTCTGCTTCCACAGATTATCATTCATGCTCTTCAGAAACGCAACCCACGGCAACATAAATCAGGTGACAAAGAAGTTAAAAGAAGAAATGTGCTGGAAAATTAACAAGACTTAACCTCCCTTTTCTCCCCTAAAACAGGTATTGTTCCTGTGTTTTAGTTCCCCTTTCGTCTCATTTGCCCTGATTGCCAGTTTCAGGACATTGTGGAGGAAAGGACAGGTTCTTCTGTATGTCAAAGGCCCTGTGAGGGTGGCCTTGATGGATAATTAAACGAGAAGTGATGGGGTCCTGGTGGAGCCTGGCCTCAGGAGGTCTGGGCAGATCACACGTCACAGCAGGCATTTGATAAACACCATGATAGGAGGGATGCTGCTCTGCCCGCGTGTCTGAACCTATTCAGTGCTTACTCTGAGACTCTTACTTCCCCAGTTTCCTGAGGACACATTTGATGATGCTGGACTGGTGGGAGGCAGGGGCAGAGATCCCAACTATTAGGACTGGTCTCAGGTCCATCCACACCAGCTCCCAGAGACCCTGTGTTTTTGGCCACGATTGCCTTTCATAAATCAACTCGCTCTACTTTTCTTTGCTTTACGATCTATTCTGTGGCTTGTCAATAAAGTCCTGTAGCTTTAGTTTCTTAATAATTGGCCCCAGAGCATAGGCTGTAAATCAGTCTACCACAACCTGCCTTTCGAACAGGAAATCTCAGACCTCAGCTCGCTGAATTCTCATCCAAGCCTTTTGAAGGTGTCTCTCCTCTCTTCTTACAAAAACAAGGGAGGCTACTGCCGCCCCATTTTCCAGGAGGCAATGTTCCTGCTCCCCAGGGGCAGTTTTCCCGAAAGTCTTTTACTCTTCTCTGGATTTCCTGGTAAGTTGCTGCTTTTAGTTTCCAAACTTTCATTTCTCCATGCTAGCTCTATGGATTTTCTCCTTCCTCATTATTTCTAACATTTCCTTTTTGCCTGTGCAAATCTCATTATGCTTCTAGCCAGCCGATGGGCTCTGTGCTTTGCCCCTCCTCACCCAACACTCTCGGGATCACTGGCCACCTCTAGGCCACAGCAGGGCCCTTGGCAGTCTTCAATCCAGAAACAAGAGCCCTTTAACCCCCTGAATAATCTCTCATCTTGTCCCCGAAGCCTTTGCTGAATCATCCTCTTTCTCTGTTACCAGGACTGCTGGGGTGCTCCTAATGGTGTCCTGTGGCCCCTTCCTCAAGAGGCAGGTGAGAATATGAGGGCTCTGGGCAGAGGTACCAGACTCAACTGTGGCTGGCTTGGCCCTCACTGGACTGGTCATATCATCACCTGGGGAAAGCCATGACTTCACAGCTTCAATGCTTCCACTCATCAGGACTTTGCCCTTCTGTTCTGTTCTGTTCCAAGGTTGGATTGAGTCTTCAACAATGTAATAGAAATGCACACCATGCATCCCTCTGGGTGATTCCCAGGGGTTTCTAGAAAGACACAAAAAAGACTATACTCCCAAGATTCTTAATAAAAACCAAACTTTTTTCTTAGCCACATTTATCACTTGATTCTTCAGGGATGGGAGATGCCTAATTAGTCAGTTAGGCATAATGTGGAGAAGCAATGGCTCTGCAATCTCTTGGTGCTGATCTCTTCCATAGCTAATGTCTCATTGTGCACTGATTTTCCTAAGGGCTGGACTGTTCCCAGCTCTCTACTTCCCGGAGTTCAGAGCAGGAGTGGAGGGGAAGTAAGGGAAGGGCAAGGCCCAATCTCAGATAAGGGCGCCAGCAGCTCCAATCTCTGCCCCTGCTCACAGCCTTTCCAGAAACAGGAAGGGGAGAAACCTGTGCTAAGGTTTCTCCTCTTTAAAAAAGAACACCTCAACTCCGATCTGTTCCTTGAGCAGCGTTCCAGGGACATGAGACAGGAATAATCTGATGGTAGGTAGAAAGCAGAATGCCCATGTGAGGAAAATTCAGTAGAGGGAAGTCTTAAATATAGTCCAATCACTGATCAGAGAAGTCTTTAGGGAGCTGGTGACTCTGAGTCATAGGAGAGAGGAGTAGTCAGAACAAAACTGTGGAGGAAGAAGGGATGGGACAGTGCTTTTCAACAGTTAATGGGGCAAAAATCACCTCGGGTGTCTGTTTTTAACGTAAACTCTCAACTTGTATGCCCAGAGATGGGACTAGAAGTTCTGCGGTGATCCCAGGAACTGGGAACCTAATAATCCTCAGGAACCCTAGTTGAGATGGCATGCAGGCTACAAACATCATGGAAACCATGGTGGGCAGTTTCAGGTAATGTTGAGTACCTCAGTTTGGTTTAAATTCTCCATGTAGAGTATCTGTAAACTAATACAGGAATTAGACTGGTTTTAGTGAGAGGAGTTAATAGGATATAAAGGCAAATGTAAAAATTATATCTTCCTGTTCTTCAAGGGACAGCAACCAAGTCACCCCAGCAACCATGTCATCTCAGGAATATGTATCCAAGGCACCAGGGATTCCCATTTTCAAGAGAAGCCTCAGACCTGGGCTTTCTATAAATCCTCCTCTTCCAACTATTAAAGGATGGATTAAAATGCCATGAACACCAAGCAATTCCACGATGGCCGCTGGTTGGCAAGATCAGAGGGGCAGAATAATCTTTTGCATCTGGACTTGAATGGGGAATGAAAACTATTTCTTCTGGGAGACAATGAAAAGCAATAGAAGATTTGGGAGTAGACTAGGGATGTGAACAAGAGTCCTTTTAAAAAAAATCCACACAGTCATTGTGTATCCTTGAGATGGAGTGGGGATGGGGCCTCAGTCAGGAGATTAGGTGGAGTTTCTTCTAACTAGGCAAAGGGAATAGAGAGAAAAGGGGTCTGTAAGAAAATGTTGGGGAGTAAGAGGTCAGGAGATATGACTAGCTGTGGGAAGAGGAGGGGGAAAAATCATCCAGAGTCCCTTATGTCTAAATGTGCGCCACTTGTAACCACCCTTTTTCTTTACTATGTATTTATGTTTCAGGTTCTCTCATTCTGCAAAAAAGATCATTTAGGGTGTGCTCTGAGAAGTGCCTGCTTAATACATAAATTTAGAGTCATTTTCTTAGGGGGAAGAAAAAAAACACAGACAAAATATTTTATAGTATCTATAATAAATGCAGAGAAATCAATACAAACAAAACTTGGCTTTAGCAAACTGTACATACATAAATATCTTTTTTTTTTACTGTAACATTCAACTTTTTTTTCACATAAAGCCTTCCATGATCTTATTTATTACATCCAGTTTTTCTTTAGAGCTTTAAAAAAGTGCCTTTTAGATTTACAGCTTGTGCTTCTAAAGCAAAGGTTAGAACATCATGCCCCAAAGGAAAACAAGGTAAAAAGAAAGGTGCCATATAAGCTCTTAAAAATTGTATGTTTACAAGGTTCTAAAATCTCTTCAGCACTGGTTGGTTGGTAGATTGTTCAATGCCAACCTGGCATTCAGGGAGAAGCCTGTGTTGAATGGATGGAGCAGCACCAGGGGAGAGCTGCTCACTTAAGTCCTTGGGTGTGCAGAGGATTCATCCCAGTATTCATGCGTCCAGAGAACGTTGGAGGTCCTTAACCTCTTTAGCACTGAGGCTCAGAGTTTCAGACAAAATTTCTTCCCAAACTGTTGTCTGTCTGTTCTCCTCTTGTCATCTTTTACTATCTCCGAAGCCATAATTTGCACACATGGGATACAGAGACGAGCTAAAGGTGCCACATCAAGGACGTTCGCCAAGATTCCGGTCCTCTTTTTACTAGTTTGGGATTGCTTTTGGCCAAATCCTCCTTATGCTATCAGCACTGCTGCAGATGGCATCTGCTTGATTCAGAGCGGAGGAGGGCCATTTGTGTATCTGAGCATGGGGTGGAATGATCGGGCAAAGTTGTTGGAGAGGGCACAACTATAGTCTTCCTCTGACATTGGTACAAGGCAGGCGAGCCCGATGAGGAGCAGCAGGAGAAGCTGAAGTGGAAGAGCCGCTCGGAGGACTCTGAATAGGAAGGCTCGGCCGGACCGAGCTGGCCGAGGCTCAGAAAGGGAGGAATCGGAGCCACCTTTTATGGACCTGAGAGGAGAATCAACATAAATAACTCAAATATCTCAAATGCTGGGTGGATGCTGCTTTTTGCTTCCTCACCTTCCTGGAAGCTAAGGGACCATCCCAAATACAACCCAACCTGGCAATTAGCTGGCAGCCATCTGCAGTATGCCCACGTCATCTTCCCACCACCATATGGAAGGTTTTTTTGGGAAACTTCGCTGATGAAAAATAAATATTTAGTCAGTCAACTAAAGGGGTTGGGTTCAAATTCTATCCCTTAATTTGGTAAAACATTTTCCATCAACAAAGAAAACTGCTCTACACACATTCTATCAGCATAGATTAAGTAGGTCCAGGATAATTAAAATGTGGATGTTTGATGCAGGGCACTTTTGGTTTAAGAGTATCAGTAGCATCATAAGGCAAAATTAGTTGCTGTCAGAATTATGCAAAATGTCCATCTTGTCATCCCGGATGTGCCAAAATCTATGCAGCAAGGTTAAGAACAGCACAGCCATCTTGCAGAGACTCATAAAGTTTAAATAATCTTAGAGTATACCTTGGTTTTATCTTGCACTGAATCAGCATCTGGCCCTGACCCAAGTGGGTTCCAAAGCTGTATGAACAAGGTGGCAGCAGAGTTAGCCTACAGAACACTGGTCTGGAATGGCATAGATTCTAGGCTGATCCCATTTATCACCAGCTCTCTGACTTTGGGAAACAGACACCATTTTCTGATGGGAATAGATTGTCCTATTGAAGGCGTCTTCTGGACTCAAAGTTCCAAGTTTTCTTATCTACTTCCATTTTCCCATCTACTTTTAAATATGGAAGTAAGTCCTGGGTGAGGTGCACTATTTTCTCTTCGTGAGCATCCATTAACATCTTATTTGGTTACTAGTAGAAAAGTCATAGAAGAAAACGTTATTTACAAGAGGCATTTTGTATACACACATGCACACACGCGCACACATGTGCACACACAAAACATTCTGGGAGCAAAAAGAATGTATGTACTAATGAAACACATTCCCCCATACCTAGTATGAATTCCCTAATGGGTATAAGATCACTAAAGGTAAGGACACTGAATGTGAGGCCACTGGAGAGATATGAAGGTGTAAAAACTATATTGGTTATTCTGTACATTTTTTCATAAGAAAATATTATGTTTACAGATATCCTATTAGCTATTAATTTCTGAAAGTAAATTACATAAACATCAGTGAGGGATAAGAGGTGGCACCAAAGAAAATAAATGTTAAGATAAAAACAGACACAATCCCCTTAAAAAGGAACAGAGGGAGTACTCAAAGCTTTCTCATTACACCATCAAAGACATATGTGAGACAAGCAGACTAGACCTGCAGAAGCCCTAAACAGCCACATACCATACTGTGTTCCTAGTTCAATTCTTGCAGTGTAATGAAAAAAACACATTGTTGGCCAAAACTGGGATTGTATTCTTTTCCAAAGTCTGCAACTTACATTTGTGTAACTTTGAATAACTCACTTCACCTCTACATGCCAACTTCTTCAAAACCTTCAAATTAGATTAGATGTTCTTCCAAGTTGAAAGTTCCATATTTTATACATTTAATGTCTTCTACTAGTTGATCAGTAGTCTACCAACTGAGAGGCCATAAGAGTTTAATCACCATCTAGTGGTCAAATTGATTAACTGCCCTTAGGCTAAGGCCAATGAGTTATTCCTCATGAACTGCGTGGGAAAGGCTGTATATTGTGAAAATACAGTAAAGCATAAACAAAGTATGTCACATACCTACTAATGGAAGGAGAAAACAGAAACTGCTCAAGCTATCAAATTATAAAATATTCATGTTGAAATAAAGTCTTTTTTTTTTAATTTTTTTTTTAATTTATTTATGATAGTCACAGAGAGAGAGAGAGGCAGAGACACAGGCAGAGGGAGAAGCAGGCTCTATGCACCGGAAGCCCGATATGGGATTCGATCCCGGGTCTCCAGGATCGCGCCCTGGGCCAAAGGCAGGCGCCAAACCGCTGCGCCACCCAGGGATCCCCATGTTGAAATAAAGTCTTAAAGAATATCCAATCCATCTTCTAACTTTGTAGATAAGTGGCTAAGGAGAGTTAATATTTATTCTTCTAATTGCTGGGCAACACACTAAGCATTTATTCTATTCTCTTACTTAATCATCATGGTAGTCTCTGTGTGCTCATTATCTTCATTTTATAGATAATGAAAAGGAGACTAAAAGAGATAAAGTAGCTGGCTCAAGGTTATATAGCTAGCAAATGGAAAAATTAACATTTTAACCCTGAGATTTTTAGTCCCAGAACTTGGATTCTATGTATAAATCACCTGCCCCAAATCACACAATGAAATGAAGAGCTCTAGCAGGAAGTCAGGGTTCACAAGTCTGCAACACTGTGTTGTTTGATGACACAATGAGGTTGTCCAGGTCATATTTATGTATCTCACCTGTAGAGGCAAAGAAGACAATACCTGTATCCTAAGATATGTGGAAGTGAGTGGTTTGAGTCTGAAATAAATGCCTCTAATAGCGAAGCCTCACAGTATTATGCAGATCAAGTCTGTATATGGAGCTGAGGACATTTTGTCTCAAGGCAACTATACAATCTTGGGCAAGTAATTTAGTCTCTTTGGTCTTAAGCAAGTAATTTAGTCTCTCTGGTCTTCATTTTTTCATTTGCAAAGACAAGGGGTGTGCATTAATATCCTAAAATTGTTTTGGCTCTGTTTATGATTTCAGTGGTTTGCCTTAAAGTGTCTTGAGAAGAATGGGATAGTTACTGATGAACTCTGGATTGAATTTTCTTTCAATGTGTCTTTCTTTGACCTGAAAATATGCCCTGGCAAATGACACTCACCATCTATCACTGGATGAATTATAACAGGAACACAAAAGACAGTTTTACATTTCCTCATTATTCAGTATTTAAACAAAATGAAAGAGATTTCTGAGTCTTTTTCTTTAGAAGATATTTAAGGACATTAGTTATGGGCAGGTTCATGCATATACTTAATTATACAATTTGACTGAGATGAAGAACTCCAGTTTGTCAATTATTATCTTCTTTGAGCTAGTAAGCCAAAGATCAAAATTAATACAGGGGCCACACGTTGACAAATCCACTCCCACAAAAAACTAGAAAGGTCACCATCTTGGAATATGGGTTCATGTGTTATAGAGTCTGTTGAAGGACATGGCACATTTAACAGCATCAGAGCATTTCTGATTAAAATTTAATTAGTATGTGCTTTCTAACGTTGAAGAATGCCAACCTGGGAGAAGTAATGGGCTGATAGGGGACAAAGAGAACACAGAGTGCTTAGTGAGCTTCCATGCAGTTGACTGCTCTTGGAAACGTCCACTTTATCTACTGAGAAAAATGCCACCTCCTTGGGGGCAATTCCCAGGGTTTCAATGTTGCCCAAAGTTGTCTCTTCTTAGATGAATCTGTACTAGAGCTTCTAGTACCAACAGGATAATGGTGCCAGGGTAAGAGGGTGCTTTTAATATTTACCTGTTGATCTAAGATCATCTGTTTCAAGAGCCTTGGGAAATTTGACAAGGGAAAGAACAAAGACAACTCATTAACTAGTCACTCATCACTCTCCAATGGCCTTATTACATAAATAGATGCGAGTTGAGATTGTGTTTATATGGGAAAAATGAAATAAGTGTGAACTTATCCAAGGAACTTAATTGATGGAGATATTTCAGATAATTCTGTCCAGCAAAAATGTGTTTATTCTCTACAAGTAAATATTTATTTTATCATTTTTCTCACTCCCCTGACTCATTCAAATTTCTGGGTAAAAAACTGCCCAGGAATTGTTTCATCATAAATACATATAGTTGTGGAAGAAGGAAGATGGTAAAGGAGGAAGCAGTTATAATAACATATCACACAAAAGAAAGTATGCTCTCCCCAAAAAAAGAAAGTATGGCTCAAGGATGTAAAAAGCCTGAATAGCATGTGTGAAGTATGACTCATTTCAAAAATTTTACATAATCAAGGAGAATAAAATGAATTACTTCTGGGCATACATTATTATTTTTGGGGGGGCATACATTATTTAAAGGCAAGTGAAAAGAAACTTTCAATTCATTTTGTTACTTGTTAGCTAACACTGGCAGTGTAGTAATAGGAATTTACTCTGAGAAAATACCGAGGATGTGTATGATCTTGTTGTCTGTTCTTGTGTGGATGGTCTTTGTTCCCTGGATGTGTGGTTCAGAGACATATTTCCAGAATCAATTTAGCATTTCGGTCTTCTTTTTTCAAAAAATGAACTGGCTGGTCCTAGGCAGTGTCAGGCTGCCTGGGGCAGCGGAAGCCCCAGAACTATCATGCAAAGGATTCCACACCCCTTTGGCAGAGTGAAGTGCTTTGCAAGCTAGGATCCAGAGTCAGGTAGACCTGGTTCAAATCTTTAATCTTCATACCTCTGATCCTGTGTCCTTGTCTGTAAACTTGGGAATATAGCCATGCCATGGGAATGTGGTAATAGTTAAATGAGGTAACAAATATACAATGCTTAGCAGAGTGCTTAGGACACTTAAGTGCTAAATAAATATAATTTATCATTAATAATTTATTATCATTGTTAAAGCAAAGGCGTGATAACTCATACCATTAGGGATTGGCTGTATTTAGCCTTGTCTCCCAGGAGAAGGAGAGTCCTGGTTTATTAGTAGCGCTTTCAATGATGTGATACATTTGCCAAAGTGACTGGCTTGTTCCTGGGAAACACTGGGGATGCATACCTCAAAATATTAGAAAAGGAACATTTTGGTTCCTTACCCTATAACTGCCCTCAGCCTTGGAGGCCAGCCTGTCCCAGAAGTGCACCTGTGTAGACTGAGGCTCTCTGAATGCTATGAATAAGTAGATCCCCAGGGAGGAGCTTGATAGGGAAAGACTTGAAAAAAATTCCATAAGAAACTGAACAGTATATACAGTGAAGTGTTCAGTTTCCCTCCCCCTTCCTTCCGTTTGCTGCTTCTCATTTCACCTTAGTTCTCTGTGTAGAAAGTGCCAGAGACCAAAGGTGCCCAAGGAAATTTTGCATGTTAGAATTTTTTGAAAATTTTTTTCAGAATTTTTGGTTAAGTTTTGGAATGAAGTCATCACCTCATTGTATCCAGACTACAGACCAATTAGTCCTTTGCCTTGCTGGAAATTGGAGTAATCTTCCCGTTTGTCAACTTCAAACAATCCACTTTAGAGTTGTGAAGACTTACTGGTGATTGAGTTAGATTATTTTAAGTCAAAGGTAGAAAAAAAGTCCAGCTGGACCATTATAAACATTGCTTTTTAAACCTTTTTAATGTAAAAAATTACGAATAATTATTATGAATTTATGCACAGATGTTTTTCCAATGTTTATAATTTTTAAAGAATCTTAAGGAGCTTCTTGTAATTGATTTGTGGAATCTGTAGATTCTGACACATGGTAGGAACCGTACAGCATTTTGTAAGCCCAGTGCCTAAACATAGTAGATGTACAGTAAATATTGGCATCAATCTATATGTAAGCTTAGACTTATTACATAAGAGGACATAGAAGTGTGGCTATAAAATCAACCTGAAACCATAAATAGCAGATAAACAACTGTATTATTAACAATAGACTTTAAACAACAAAAATAATATAAGAACCCCCTCCCTTCAAACTAATACCCAGTTTCTTCCAACTCAGTCTCTTTCCTCTCTAAGAAAGAATATGTGTCTAAAATTTCCATTGTAGATCGGTGGGGTCAACATTCTACATTGTTTGTGCTTTCAAATTTGCTAGACCAGTGCAAGATCAAACAACAAGGTACTCTCAAGTCTCAATGTAAAGAAACACTGTAACAGGCTGGGTTATGAGTGAAGTTAATTCCTTCTTAGCAGACTCCACATTCCATCGTTGGGGTTCGGTGCATCCCAAAACAGAGGTGTCAAGAAGTTAAAAAGTCCAAGAATGTTCAACCACAACCTGTCTACCAAGGTGTTTGATGAAGTTTGCCATTCGAGTGCAGATCATTTGTATTCCAGACCCTCTGGGTAGCAAAGTAAACACTGTGCTGTATGCTCAGAAAGATGTTAATAAATAGCGCTGTACAGAGCAGAGGTGAGTGAGAATGTGGCTGTCCCAGCTGCAAAGCCCTGTTAGGAGACATGTTGAAGCACTTGCTGCCCTAAGAAACGATGCTTTTGACATTTTCCGAAGACCCATGCAACTAAGAGGATTGGGGGAGCAGACTGATGTGATATTTGGGAACCAGAGGGCAGTTGCTATTGGTGTTGCATAATAACATAAGAGCTTTTCCCCTTGTCATCACCATCATTTAAATCAACCAAAGAATTGATCTCTAGTATCCTACAAAGACTGCTATGGGGACAGTCCCCATCTTTGTTCATGGCACATCAGCAATTTGTGGGAAGAAGATGGACCAAGCAATGATCTGTCTATAGTACATGATTGGCTTTTCTCATAGGGGACTAAGACAACATCAGAACACCTGTAGAAGTCCATCACTATCTTCAAAAATTCTTGTGAGTTTTTCTCCATTCATATTCCATTATTGATTTATTATGGACAAAAAAAAAATCTCACAAAATTATCGCCAAACCAAACCAAAGGGAAAGAAAAAAAAAAAAAGCACAGTAAAGGGAGGCTTAAAACCAAAAAGCACATCAAAGTACGTTCTGCATTGCTTCAGCTGAGTAGGAATGACCAAATCAAATATCTAATCCCTTCAGCATACAGCTGGAAAATGAAAACTATTACTCAGGGGTTGTTTATAGCTCTATACTTCCTCATCCCTCACCCTCCTTTCAGGAATTTGATTCCAGCTCAGTGGTGATGAGTTTCCAGAGGGGCAAACTACCTCAACAGTGAACTGCTTGGGACTGGAATGAAAAATCAGCTCCAGGGACACTATTTTCATTTTTAAAGAGTTGTCTGGGGGAACATGAATTGATTAGTGAAAGGGCAGGGGAGCACAAACATCACACCAACAACGAAGAAGGCAAAAGCACCGCTAACTGCAGAAATAAGGGATTGTTGGAAGCCAGGCGTAAAGCACGAGTGGCAGTTGTGAGTAGGCTCTCTGGACATCCCCAGGCAGGAGTACTGATTGCCCTTGTTTCTAGCGTGAAAGAGCTTGCCAAGTGTCAGGAAGGTGAGTGACTGAGTGTGCTGGCAGAAGAGAAGTATTAGGGTAAGCAAAAGAGAGAAGGTGCTTATAAATTTTAAATAATATCAAATTAGGACTTGTCATTTTGAGAATTCAAAACCCACAATCTGAATAAAACATTAAAATAAAATAAAAAGCTGGGGATGTTAGTATATTTTATTCAGATTTGTGGGTTCTGTGAATGATAAAATAATTCATTGATCTATTACCTGTCTTATTGTAAAATCTAGAAATAAAGAGGATGATGAAAGTCTGCCATGAAACAAATGTTGGCTATACCATTCATTGCACTGAATCCTTAAGTGCACACAGAATATGATGTGATGAAAAGTATCAGATAGCCTATGTATAGCTAGATAAAATTCTGCTGGGATCCAAATATTTTGTGCTCTGAGCTTTACTTATACTTTGCACTTAAAAAAGTCTCTTCAATTTATTAGAAAAAGGGTCTGGGATGAAACAAGTAATTTTTCAACTACCCTGAGGCAGACCAGATAGAGGTCTACCAAAATCATGGACAATTTTCATCATCCTCTTGGAGTTCTAGAACAGTGTGGAAACCAGGAGAATAAGGTACCTGCTATGTGGACTGTTGACAGAGGGTCCAGGCTGTGAGAGACTACATTTGCCTCGTGGCTGTTTGCAATGAACAGGGGTAAAGAAAGAAGAATGTTCAGTCCAGGCAAATAAAGACAAGCTACTGAAAAAAAAATTAAACTAAAAATGCGGCAAAGGAAAAAAATAAATCAAATGAAATGATCAGTACCCATGAATTCAGGAAACTGGCTTTTCTTTTGTTGAAGAAGTGAAACAAATTCACATCTCTATCATTAGTCACTGAGGAAACAGAAATTGTGGTTCAGGAGTCCCCACCACAGTGGGTATATTTCCCCCATTTTTCATGGTGGAAACACAGATAACTCTGCACAAGCCAAGGATCTACTTACAATAAATATAAAGGTCAGTGTGCCATGTCATGCCATATTTTTTCATCTTCTAGAACACTGAAATAGTATTGAAATTCTTGGTAGATAAAAAAATACCAATGGCAATATGAGATTGTTCTTTATAAAATGACGAGAACCAGACAAGTTAAAATAGGGCTAGAATTTGACCTGAAAAGCCAGTATTCCTTCACATTCTTAAACTAGGATCTATAGGAAACTAGTGAATGTAGTAAAAAAACAATCCTAAATAAGATAATAACATTTATCAGCATAGGACTTAAGTGTTTATAACAAAAAGAGTACAAACAAAATCAATACTTCTAAAAACTAAGGAAAACGGGATGTAATAAAAATGAATATAGTCATAAAGCCGGACAAAAAAAAAATAACAAAACAAAAACAAGCTTCTAATTACACAGAGAAATCAAAGTATAGAGGGTAGTAGGGGCCAGATTCGTCTTTCCATCCTCTTAGAACGCCAGCGAGGCAGCCCCCCAAAGGCTCTGTGGGTGAGTCCTCTTGGGCTGTTGCCTCTTTGGGGGCAGCACAATTGCCAAAATCCTTCACGAGCTTCTTTGCTTGAGAGTTCAACAGAACCTCCACTTATCTCATACATTTAATGGTCTCATGAGACGCTCCCTGTTTTGTCTGCTTCTGGCTGAGGTGCCCCTTTACATGGTACCTGCTGTTTTTAAGTGGACTATGGTGGTAGTGGTTTGAAGGGAGGAGCCACCAAGGAAGCAAGGGAACATCATTCTAGCAATGGCCCTTGGAGCAAGAGAAATAATTTGTCTCCCTGTACCAACCACACATTGAGCCCTCAATTCTTTTGAAAAACAGAATGTTCTTTTCCATTCCTGAGTGCATGTGGGAAAGGCATGTGGCAGGGCTGAGGAAACAACACTTCACTGTGTTACAGTGTGACAATGCTCTTTTGTAGGGAGAGTCTCACTTTCCTGGGGGGAGCCTGTGGAACCTGAGGAAGGTATAAATACTGTTGCTCCCCAATGTTCCCACCCATGGGCCAACTGACAAGGACCAGTGGAAAGTTACCGTTCTTTGTCTGTTTGGGGTGCTTCTTCCTGATGTAGGACTCACAGATCCTGAGGTGTCCAGTTCATCAGCAGAAGACCAGGAAGACAAATCCTGCATAGGAAATAGATTCTTTTAATGACTCCATGTCCCAAAGCTATGGCTTGGTCATATGCAATGAATTTACCAGCACATCCGTACTGATAAAAAGCAAACCATTCCTTTGGCAAAACAGAATCAGACATATAAGAACAGAACCTAAATCTTCTAGTGTATTAGGCTCTTCTGGGCATAAATTTGGTCCTACTGGAAAATACAGATATAGTTTTGCTATTACTATGTCACTTGTAGATTTACTATTTCTTAGTGACGCGGATGTGGATGAAAGGAAGTAAAGGAGGTGGAGGAATGGGTCTTACACTACAGGTGTCTCACGCCAGAGAGAAACTAATTCATTTAAGTTAGAAACAAAAGATATTCATCCAGGAGCCTGCTTTTGTAGTATTTCTAACATTTTTCTGTTATTCGGAGTAGACTGCTCTTTTGCATGCTTACAAGAGGGCAGGGTAGGGTGTTGGTGTGTTCATAACAGGATTTGACAATTGAATGTTTGAAGTCTTACCAAGCATCTCTGTATCTACAAATGCATTTCTCAAAACCAATAGTAGTACCATGATGCAATAGATTTAAGAAAAAAATATAAAAAGTAAATGAGCAGAGGATATTTTCTATGAATTAATTGCCATCTATGTCAGGAGAACACATGCCTTCTAGTGTTTGAAAACAAAACTCATATTGCAATGATTGGTTATGACCTACCATAGCTGTGTGACTGAAAACATGTGAATTCTTAAATAAACAGGGTAAAATACAATGCCACAGAAGTGATGGTAAAGGGTTAGCAGTAACAATTGCAAGAAGTCTTCTTGATGTAATGGAATCAAAAACAGTGTCCTATTATAAAAGTTTATGAGTCCCTTAAAATTTTTTTCTTTTAATTTTGAGACAGGACTCCTAAGAGCAGTGATTGAGAGTGGGCACTTTATTCTGACAAGTACTACACTCAAAGTCCTTTTAAAAATGGATAAAGATGATGCTTCTATGGTTTCCTGTAAGAAATGCTACACAATGATGTCTGCTTAGAGCTTACCTGCTGACTGCTTGACATATCTAATAACTTCTCCAGCTCCTTGATGTGACGACTGACCTCCTTCAAGAGAAGTTTGAGCCGATTTCCAATCACATGGACTTTTTCTTTGGCTTCTAAACAGTCTGTGCCTTCAGCATTCACCAAGAGTTGGCAAGACATGTCTTGCAGTGAGGCCACTTTGAGCTGGGATTCCAACAGCTCATGCCTTATTTGCTATGTACATGATAAGAAATACTTTACTAAGAATTTTGGATCATTGTGGAAAATTCCAGAAAGGCGGAGTGACATCAGTTTAAGTTAGTGAGCCATCAATACCTGAATATCTGAATGCTGTACTCACACAGGGAAGAATGAAGCATCTCATGGCATTCAGGAATTGGGGTCTGGGTTCTAGTCCTGCTTCTGCCAAAAATATTCTATAAGGCCCCTGAATCTTTCAAATTTCAAGTTTTCTCATTTGGTAAAATGATTATACTATTTCCTGTCTCATCCACAGTAAGTATATTGGAAGGTTCAAACTGGTGAATATATGTGAAAGTGCTTAAAATATCAAGTATTATGCAAATGAGACATATTATTTTATACAGAAAGTGAAACATTAACATAAATATAGCAAAACACATATGTCTAAGTATACTCTGATATTTGTTCAAGATTTTTTTTTAAAGGATACAGTAGTGATTCATCATTTACAACTAATGTCTGAGGTCAAAAGTCAGTAGAAATGCCATTGCATAGCTCTTCCCCCTTGGTTTCTAAGACCTTTATTGTACTGAATTAAAAGCTACCAATTCTGTTGCTTAGGTTAGTAAGTATAAGTATTAAATGTTGAGAAATGACATTTTAAAAATACAGAAAGCTACAAAATGCAAATCATTTTCTCCTAATGGAACTGAAATATACTTCTTTATTTTCTATAATATCCCTTAAGTACAGTGTACATTATATTGTCCAAAGTCCTTTGTATGAGAATCGACAAATTTCCTTTTGAATTCAGTGCTAGAAAAAGTTTCTTTCTCCTTGAGAACTAGAATTCTTTTTTTCCCCTCAGATAATGAAAATAACTTTTCGCACTTTCCTTTTTGTCTTCATTTTCACAAAACTTGGTGACAAGGTTACTGTTAAATCTGGTAAATTCAATTTCTTCTAAGGAGTCTGAATAATCTATTTCTATTTTAATAGTTTAAATGCCCATAAAAATAAAATTTAAGCCACTCAATATACTTACTTTATACAGAGATGTAGCAAATACAGTTTAAATTTAAAATAAGTGTCATTGCTAAAGATCTGCTTTAGTAAAAACAACTTAATTAAGATGAAGAACATCTAAGATCTCTACAACTGAGCAATGACTTTAGAACCAAATTCTAAAGCTCATAGACGTCATCTTCTATGAGCATGTTTGCCTCACAAAAATCAGAAACTATGATGAGTAAAAAAGAGAAAGTTAGAGACAGGTAAAAGGTGTAAAAATAAATTATCACCTATATTATTTTCCTATAAATGAAATGGATGGCTGCTATGAATAACCAGCAGCTGCCAGAGTTCACACATCTTACCATAAGCTGTTTGTGATGGTCCTGAAGTGTCTCTGCATCCTGGTTAGAATCAATAGGGACAATTTCATTTTTCCTTCTGTCTATGTTCTCCAGCATAAGCAGCAAACCATGACTCATTTCATGGAAATCCTATGAAGAAAAAACATGGGATATAAAATCATCTTAAATAGTATGTTTTTTTTTTTTCTCTCATAGCTTAAATTCCCATTCTTTCCAATTGCTACCACTGTGGGGTTTAAGTTCTTATGCACAACTCCTTTCTGACAAAAGCACTGGTGCTGTTGTAATTATCTGAGTTCATATTCTCCCCCAAAACATCTAGTTTATTATTTGAGGGAGAGTTTAGACATAAGGAAAAACTGGCATGAAATACTTAATTTCTAGGGTTACTATTCAGTTTGGAAGAAATCAGCACTGCTCCCCTTTCTCCTCCCTGTATCCAAACCTTTCCATCTTGTAAGGCCTTAATCTGATTACCTATACGCTTCATTCACATTCAATGCATAGTTCCTGAAGATCTCCTATGTGGATAGCACAGGCCTAGGAGGGGGTACAGGGATGAAAAGTGAAAGGGGGTCTAGAGGTGAAACAACAACTTGTGTACCTGCTTTCAAGGTATTCTTGGGGGCACATATAAACCTGAAAAGAAGGCTTACATTGTGCTCAGAATACAATGCACTCTCAGCCAGGACCTACAAGGCCCTGCGTGATCTGGCTGCTAATCATCTCCTTGATCTTTCTTATCACTCTCTGACTCTCTGACTACATTCTGTCACACTGGCCCCTTTTCTGACCTTAAAGACACTAAGCCTTTTCTTGTTTCTGGGACAACCCATTTGCTCAGTCTCCTTCACGGCAATGTCCCTCCAGTGTTAGCTCAAAGATTCACAGAAGTTCCCTGACCTCATGTCCACTCTCACCACTGCTATTCAACATAGTACTAGAAGTCTTAGCCTCAGCAATCAGAAAACAAAAAGAAATAAAAGGCATTCAAATTGGAAAAGAAGAAGTCAAACTCTCCCTCTTCGCAGACGACATGATACTCTACGTAGAAAATCCAAAAGACTCCACCCCAAGATTGCTAGAACTCATACAGCAATTTGGCAGTGTGGCAGGATACAAAATCAATGCCCAGAAGTCAGTGGCATTACTATACACTAACAATGAGACTGAAGAAAGAGAAATTAAGGAGTCAATCCCATTTACAATTGCACCCCAAAACATAGATACCTAGGAATAAACCTAACTAAAGAGGTAAAGAATCTATACCCTAAAAACTACAGAACACTTCTGAAAGAAATTGAAGAAGACACAAAGAGATGGAAAAATATTCCATGCTCATGGATTGGAAGAATTAATATTGTGAAAATGTCAATGTTACCCAGGGCAATTTACACGTTTAATGCAATCCCTATCAAAATACCATGGACTTTCTTCAGAGAGTTGGAACAAATTATTTTAAGATTTGTGTGGAATCAGAAAAGACCCTGAATAGCCAGGGGAATATTAAAAAAGAAAACCATAGCTGGGAGCATCACAATGCTAGATTTCAGGTTGTACTACAAAGCTGTAATCATCAAGACAGTGTACTGGCACAAAAACAGACACATAGATCAGTGGAACAGAATAGAGAACCCAGAAAGGGAATCTCAACTCTGGTCAACTAGTCTTTGATAAAGCAGGAAAGAACATTCAATGGAAAAAGGACAGTCTCTTCAACAAACAGTGTTGGGAAAATTGGACAGTCACATGCAGAAGAATGAAACTAGACCATTCTCTTACACCATACACAAAGATAAACTCAAAATGGATGAAAGATCTAAATGTGAGACAAGAGTCCATCAAAATCCTACAGAAGGATTTCAGGCAACACCTTTTTTGAACTTGGCCACAGTAACTTCTTGCAAGATACATCCATGAAGGCAAGAGAAACAAAAGCAAAAATGAACTATTGGGACTTCATCAAGATAAGAAGCTTCTGCACAGCAAAAGAAACAGTCAACAAAACTAAAAGACAACCTACAGAATGGGAGAAGATATTTGCAAATGATGTATCAGATAAAGGGCTAGTTTCGAAGATCTATAAAGAACTTATTAAACTCAACAGCAAAGAAACAAACAATCCAATCATGAAATGGGCAAAAGTCATGAACAGAAATCTTACAGAGGAAGACATAGACATGGCCAACAAGCACATGAGAAAATGCTCTGCATCACTTGCCATCAGGGAATTACAAATCAAAACCACAATGAGATGCCACCTCACACCAGTGAGAATGGGGAAAATTAACAAGGCGGGAAACAACAAATGTTGGAGAGGATGCGGAGAAAGGGGAACCCTCTTACACTGTTGGTGGGAATGTGAACTGGTGCAGCCACTCTGAAAAATTGTGTGGAGGTTCCTCAAAGAGCTAAAAATAGATCTGCCCTACGACCTAGCAATTGCACTTCTGGGGATTTACCCCAAAGATACAGATGCAGTGAAACGCCGGGACACCTGCACCCCGATATTTCTAGCAGCCATGTCCACAATAGCCAAATTGTGGAAGGAGCCTCGGTGTCCATCGAAAGATGAATGGATAAAGAAGATGTGGTCTATGTCTACAATGGACTATTACTCAGCCATTAGAAACGACAAATACCCACCATTTGCTTCCACGTGGATGGAACTGGAGGGTAGTATGCTGAGTGAAATAAGTCAATTGGAGAAGGACAAACATTATATGGTTTCATTCATTTGGGGAATATAAAAAATAGTGAAAGGGAATAAAAGGGAAAGGAAAAAAAATGAGTGGGAAATATCAGAAAGGGAGATAGAACATGAGAGACTCCTAACTCTGGGAAACGAACTAGGGGTAGTAGAAAGGGAGGTGGGTGGAGGGTGGGGGTGACTGGGTGACCCGCACTGAGGAGGGCACTTGATGGGATGAGCACTGGGTGTTATTCTATATGTTGGCAAATTGAACACCAATAAAAAATAAATTTAAAAAAAAGAAAAAAAAGAAAAAAGAAGTTCCCTGACCTCTCTCTCAAAGTGGCTTTTCTCAGTTATTCTTATCACCCTTGCTTATCAGCATCTTCGTAAACAATTATTTGCATTTTTATTGTTTGTCTTCCCCAACAAAAGTAGAGGCTGTGTTGTATGTATCCTGACTGCTCAGAATAACGTCTGTTAGAGTGGGTACTCATCAAATAATTTTGGTAGAATGGATGAATAAATATTTGTAATGTTCACTTTCATGTTCAGAAAATGTCTACCAACATGCTCAGTAAATATCTGTTGAATGAATGAGTTGGGGCTGAGATAAACTTGTGGGAATAGTGCAGTTAGCTGGAAAAAAGATGGGATTCACTGGCTTTGAACTTCTGTTCAAATGTACAGATTCTCCAGTATAATGAATAATTTGGGCACAAATTTATCTCACTTAAATCCCAACTCTGGGGAGCAACTGCATCCCTCTAAGTGACCTTGATAAATCAAGTCACAGACTCAGCTATAGTTGAAGTGTCTGACTGCAGAGCATAAGCCATCTGATGTCCCACCAACCTGACACTGCATCAGTGCATCTTGGAGCAGGCCCCGCCACTCTTCTAGCAATGAGCACACATGGTCCCAGCGCCCGTTCATCTGGGATAGGCGATCTTGCAGATCTTGGCTTTTTTCACTGTCAGTCTGGGTGAACTCGGAGCTGCACAGGTTGATGGAGAGGATGAGGGCTTTGCGGTGGTCCACAGCTTTCTGGAGCTCCTATAAAGAGAAAGGAGAACAACCAAAGAAAATAACAATAAAAACATTTAAAGCATAGTTTAAGACCTTAGGAAATGCTTCACCCAAATTAAAAGATCCACTCATTAAAACTGGCCTTAAGGGGGATCCCTGGGTGGTGCAGCAGTTTAGCGCTTGCCTTTAGCCCAGGGTGCGATCCTGGAGACCCAGGATCGAATCCCACGTCAGGTTCCTGGTGCATGGGGCCTGCTTCTCCCTCTGCCTATGTCTCTGCCTCTCTCTCTCTCTGTGTGTGTGTGTGTGACTATCATAAATAAATAAAAATTAAAAAAAAAACATTTAAAACTGGCCTTAACCAAATGGCTAGCTAAAATACAGTGGTACACACTACCGAGGACTATACTGTAGTTAAAAGAAATGGATTGGATGTACACTTGACAACTTGAAGGGATTTTAAAATATGGTATAGGGTGAAAAGAGTCAGAAACAGAACACTGTGTGTGATACAATAGCATTGGTGTTATTTAAAAGGCACGTGCACACACACAAATCCACATTTTTCATGCCTATATGAACCAATAATTTAATAAAAATACTCCTTTAATATTTAAGAATGGTTGCCATGGGTTTCAGGAATGAAAAGATTAAAGAGAGCGGGGGAAGAGTGAGATTAAAGAAGAGTGGGGGGGGGAAGGATAAATAAACACAATTATGAGGAACTTTGCAGGAAGCACTGATGATCCTGAGCAATGAACCAAGGAGTATGATTAACTCAATCCACAGCACGGGAGTTCAACAACAATAAGACAGAACAAACGCAGATCTGGCTCTAAGAGTTCTGGGCAGCAGGAAATGTCCTGGGGAAGAATCTCATTTCACTAGACCTTTGGTACTCAAAGTTGTGTGCAGAAGAATGCAACGGGAAACCTGTGAAGCAGGCAGATTCCCAGGCCCCAGCCTCCAGCTGTTTGTTTAGTTAGGGCCACTAACTCTCTCGACAGGCACAGAGAGAGAGTGCCCCACAAAGAAAGAACCGTGCTTATGTCTTAGGCCACATTCTTGTGATGGCAAAGAGAATAGATTGGGTATTTCATCAGCTAAACCAATTTAGTTTGATTTCACAAAAAATTAGGCAACTGATTTTTGCCTCATGCATTTCCCACAAATCTAGAACTGTTCCAAGAATTTGTGCAGCACATGATTATGCACTAACGATTCAATATCTGGGTACTATTTAAACATCCCTATATTAGTTTAGGGTCAGTGATCCTGCAAATCACATCTACCCACGCTACATTTTCTTCTAAGTTCTCAACATTTCCGTTAGGCCTCCAGCTTGTCTTAATTTTTCTCTTTCTAATATGTTTAAAATGCAGTAATACAGATTCAAATACAGAGACATTATAAGATCAAGAGATCTTGTGGAAAGATACTTGGTTATTCTACAGATTTATCCTCAGGGAACAGACCAGAAAGACTGGGAAAGCACACGGAGGGTGGCTTTTCCCTATCGCACAGGCTGACTTTCAAGGTCTCATTTTCTCAACCTAATTTCACTTAGGTCTCAGACTCTGGCCAACATTTGCTTTATCAACTTTTTAAGGAGTCTGGTCATAATACACACTGCCTTACATTTTTCCCAGAGAAGAACTAAAATAATTTAAGTACTCTAGAGAAAAATGCATTTTATAATCCAGATAATATAAATTGCATCTCCGGGCAGTCCCAGTGGCGCAGCGGTTTAGCGCCGCCTGCAGCCTGGAGTGTGCTCCTGGAGACCCTGGATCGAGTCCCACGTCGGGCTCCCTGCTTGGAGCCCGCTTCTCCCTCTGCCTGTGTCTCTGCCTCCCTCTCTCTCTGTGTCTCTTATGAATAAATAAATAAAATCTTAAAAAAATATTAAAAAAATAAATTGCATCTTCAATCTGATGCTTCATCTAGAAATTGATGGGGCTAGTGCAGAGGCTATTCTATCAAGTGAAGTCGTCTGAACAGCAGTGGGGAAGATTCATTTCTCTGAAAATTTGTAAGAAACAATAAGCCACAATAACATCCACCCCCAAATAAATAACATACATGGAAACGGAGTGACACAAAAGCAGCATGCTTAATCCTTAAGCCTGGTGAGCCTAGAGGAAGAACACATCTTGATGTTCTCCAAACAAAAAGAAATGACTGAAGGAGCTATTAAAAACAAACTGGGCTCTCAACCCATAGTATGTTTACAAAAGTCTCCATATATTAATGCATTTCAAGAATTGTGCTAAAGCAGAGTGTTAAGATCTAGAGACGGAGCTAAAGGACATTATCCAGTGTCCTACATCATCCAGGCCAAAATCAAATGCACATGCCAGGTGTTTTACCATAATGACTCCACAGTTTTGTTTTATTCATTACACTGCAAATTGCTTCTGTTACTACGATAATCTATTTCAGATGTTCTGCTGATTCCAGAATCTCAAACAATTTCAATACGTCTCTACAAACTCACAGAGACACAATCTTGGAGAGGAAACCTTTCTAGCTCTAGATACAGACTTGCAGGAAACCTGGTCATTGCTGCATTTCCCTTAAAAGAAATTAAATAAAAGAGGTTAAATAGGTCCTGGAGACACCTGGATGTTTCATGAACTTTTAATTAGTCTTTCCTTAAGAACCAGGTCATTAAATCACAAATGTTTATTTACGTGGGGGATAGTTCTACAACATGATCCATCTCTCTGTCCTTCCAAGCCTTCTGTATAAATACTGACTGGGGATGGTTGGGGGAGAGGAGGGTATCTGAGTTCATTTCTGTTGACAACTTCCCTGCTGCTGTGTGATAACAGAGCAGCTAGTACTAGTGGTTTCGTAGGAGCAGGCATTGCATACGGCAGCGTTTTTTCTGGCTGCTGTGGGAGAGGCTGAGGGCAGCTACCTTGAGCTTTTTTATCTGGAGCTCGATAGCCTGGATATCAGTGCTAAGCTCTAGGCGCTGCAGCTGTTCCAACTCTTCCTCTGTCTCCCCCAGCCAGGTCCAGATGTTGTTCAGGTCCGAGTTGAACTGCTGCCACTTCTGGAGGTTCTGTTTCATTCTCAGCTCCTTGCTAAGGGCCTGTGCTTGGATGAGTTCCCATCGGTCAATCACACCTGGAGAGACATGCCACACACAGTATAGTGAGCTGTTTTTCTCCACATAGTGTGTTTGGGAAATGCTTTAAACATACATTAGTGGCCAACTTTAAATAACAACAAAAAGAGAAGTAATTCTAATGGGCACTTCTGTTGTTGTCAGTTATAAAAAAAAATCCAAACAATCAGTATAATGGCTGTTTCTCCTACCTGCATTTTTAATAATAATGGGGTAAAAAAAAAACAAAAACAAAAACAAAACAAAAACAAAAAAACAAAACAAATACGTAGGATTTAATACCATAAAGAGTTTTATGAAGTAATAAGCAGTAATGTGCATGAAGATAACATTCAACTGGTTGTTTTCTGCAACAGAACTTGGAGAGCAAGCATAAAATGCCAAACGAGAGGCACCTGGGTGGCTCAGTCAGTTAAGCAGCCAACTCTTGATTTCAGCTCAGGTCATGATCTCAGAGTTGTGAGACTGGGCCTCATGTCGCCTCATTGCTCAGTGTAGTTTGCTTGAGATTATCTCTCCCTCTTCTGCCCCTTCCCCCACTCACACTCTTTCTCTCTCTCAAATAAATAAAAGCTTTAAAACATGTAAAATAAAATAAAATAAAATGCCAGATGAGAGATATTGAGACAGTGCATAAAATAAATGGTATGTGAAAGAAAACACTATAATGCTGTTCACCCCCTCTTCTGTCAGGAGATCACTGTAATGCAGAGAAAAGTTCTCAGGAGAGATCATGTAGAATGAGATGAGCATCACAGGGTAACACAGGGCACAAGGTGCTTCAGGATCTTCTATTTCCCTCTTTCCTGAACTGAGCATCACTCACTCACCAGCTGTTTGGATTTCCGTACTATTCAGGTTAACGAAGCCTGGAAAATTCTCTTCTTCCTCCCTTAGTTTGTGTTCCAGTCTCTTCACTGAGTCTATACTGCCACTGCACTCACCCAGCAATTTCATCTGTTAAGACATAGAATACAGGCTCTTGTCACGGAATTCTCAGGTTCTCACAAGTGCAAGAGCTTCTGGGGGAAAATATCTTTCTATTCCTTAAAATGGACAGTGGCTGTGTTTTATTATTCTGTGGGAAAAAAATCCACTGAAAATAGAAAAGTCAAGTTCAGAAACATTCTCCTTAAACACAGGACAGTTTCATAAACACAGAGAACAATGCCTTGAAGATAACACTTCGCATACTGGGTTTTGCATGAGAATCCCTCAAAATTTATTTTAAACTTCTGAGTCAAAACAGACTAAAAACCAATCTGGGATTTAAAACTCAGAGCCCTCAGCTGGCAGTACAATATATAATTTTTGGCAAGTTGCTTCCTCTTTCTTAAACTGAAATGTGGGAACAATAATATTACCACAAATCTCAAAGGAACATTTTTTTGCATTAAATAATTAAAATACTTAGAAGCAGAAAGTACTATTAAAGCCAGCTGTTTCACAAGAAAATTTAAGCAATGTTTAATAGGTGTTAGGGGAATAAATTCTAACATCAAAGGAAAACCTTCCAACCCTACGTTTAATGTCATGCACAGCATTCAGAGAATTCTTGCTATACTAACCATAAAGTTATGTTTCAAGGTCTTTAACAAATAACACTGCCATGAAATTACTTTGACTATTTTTGATTGAGACTGAATATAATCTCAGTGATATCAGCATGGTCACCATAAAACCTGAATATATTTTAAGAAGAGAATATACTTTATATATTCTGTTCACTATAACAGAAGTTGGTATAACAGACTACACTGGACAGGAAATGAATTCATGATTGATTCCTCTCTTGTAATCGTGAGGACATTAATATCAGCATATAAAACTATAACAGTTCTCTTCCCTGGTTTCAAAAAGCAGTACATTTAAGTTGTCATTAGACTTAGGGAGTAATTTTTTTTTTTCCTTTTACTAGGCAGTCTTTTGGGTATGAAAAGTAGGGCTGAGCCCTGGAAGAGATTTGGTCTTAAATTCTCTTGCTTAAGTATGTGTAGGAAAATGGGTAGTTCTCCAGGAAAAATTATTTAGTCAGTAACTTGAGCAGAGCAAATAAACTTAGTATATACTTCACTAGGTAGGAACTTCAAAAACAGAAGTTAGTAACGTATACAATCATCTGCCATCTTTTTCCCAAATCCCTCTTGTAAGTCAGATTTGTTTTCTCCAGAATGAGTATATTGATAACAGAGGATAAAAACATTCCCAAAGCCAGTAAGTAAATCAATAAACCCCAGAAAAGAACTACAAAAAAAAAAAAAAATCCATGTTAGTAATCCATTAACCACATCTGCTGCTTCAAGGATAACTTTGGCCCCAAAATTATTAGCTGAGTTTGGAAAAATGCCTAATCATGTTTGGGAGCTAAAGCATTTTGTTGCTTTCAATTAAATAGATCTCACTGAGTTCTCCATGTAAAGGAACAGGCTGGTCATTGTAGTAGGTTAGTGTGTCTGAGCATGGGCCAGTTTTACTCAAAAGGTAACCTGCTAGTGTGGCTTCATTTTGTATACCCAAACCTACGAGTTCAAGGGCAGTGTGGTGCTTAGAGAGCTCAGAAAGCTCTGTGCCGCAGACTGTTCTTTGTCACACAACTATGATTTCTAGGTACATGTTGGGATCACAAGGGTCAGGATACTTACATAGCCTCTATAGCTGGAATCTAGCTCCGGTCCTGTCGGAGTTTTGCTGCGGATAATATTTTCAGTTTGTTGCATCTGAAAACGGCTCTCATCCAATGCTTTGTCCAGTTGTCGGATCTGTGACTCTAAGGCACTGGGAGTTCCTATAGCGTCAACCACAAAAATCTTTAAATGCTTGACATTCAAGAAGTTTACGAAATTACTTCAGCTAAGGTGATATAGAAATGGCATATGTGTACGCAATTACGAAGCGAATTTAGTACTAATGTGCTGGTGAGTTAGAAGTTCAAATGACCAGAACAATCAATGAATGTGGTTGGCTAAGAGTCCTAGCAGCAGATATTGCAAAAGGGCTCTGCAATGGGTTCTAACAGCCTGTGTATCTGCTCCTTTTCCAGCTGATTGGAAGGATTCCATCAGCTGCTCCATTCCAGCTGGTGGAAGGCTTCTCCAAAAGCCCAAGGTGGTGCCTTATGCTCTCCTGCAAAACGGGAGGCAGTTATTTCTCATATTCCCTCTGCAGGCACTTATCAAGCAAAATAGATATAATCCTTTGTTTTCTTCCTGCATCTCAACAGAAGACAGTGCTCAGTAGAAGACAGTCTCCCCTGGCTGCATCCTTCACTTAAGGTATGTGACCCAGAAAAGACTAGCTTGAGTTACATATGGGTGGAGACACTAAATTACCAATGGCTTGCTTTTGTTTAAAACCCAAAACAAAACCAGGAGAAAGCTAAGATTTTAGCATTTGCATCTAAGCATGCTCTCAGGGCCTGGAACTCCTGGCTTATCACCTTTCAGAGATATAACACCTTTTGTGCATGCACAAAATGTGTGTATGCAAAATGTGGGTGTGTGCGCTTGTATTATAATTTTTGAACTAAACAAGAACATTGATTGTCAGAGTGAAGCTAACACAGAGTGAAAGCAGAATGTGTATTAGTAAGCTTTATTAATTTCTTTTGTAAAAAGGCTAAATACACCTGGAAGAGGTCTCTCACTGGGGTTCACTCAGGAAGTTACCATTTCAGTAATGCTACTTTGCTTCCTGTTCTTTAGCTTTTCTTCAAAAACTAAGTGTAAACTAATACCTTTACAACTCAGTATCATATTGTCGTGTTTGAATCCTATTCTATCTTCCCCCAAATTGTTTAACTATGCTAAACTATAGTTTATCTAGTGCCACATTAAACAAAACTGGCTCCATTTTCCTTTCTTTATTTTATGGGGCAAGACTTATTAAAAATTATAATTTTTTTTAGAGCCAAACATCTGGTCTCACCCCTTGTCTTACATGTGGAACAGAGGTCACAAATGCAGGCTGGTAGACTTGGGCATGAGAGTCCCCAGTTGCCCTAACTGCACAGGTTAAGGCCCAGGTAAGTCTATAAGCCCTGGAAATCATGAAGTCAGTATGGCTACAATCAAACAGGACACTAGGGCACAGATGCTGAATACTAGTAGTTCCATCTCCTATTTTCTGCCATTCATGGGCATCTTAGGTCTACACCTAATGAAACTCATTCCCCTTTAACAAGATGAGAAGTTATTTCATTGAAACTTGATTGCTAAAATCTTATTCTTGTTGTTGATCAACAGAATACTTTTGGATTCTGTTTGTTTTCTACTGTAGCAGTCAGAGAAAGGTTGTTCTTAACATGCTGGTGTCACAGAGCTGTGAGAGGTACAGCAGATGTGCTCAGAGAGGAGGCTTGTTACAGGTGAGGGAAGGAGGCTTGCTGGCTTTTTGTGCCTACCAGAGGTATTTCTGATTGCACTTTCTGTGAGTTTTACATAGGCCTCGGGACTTTCGGGGATCATTACATCTGCAAAAAGAGCACAGTCTAAGTTGACAGCTAGATTCCTTGTGGCGGGAAATAACTTTCCTAGAGAAAAAAAGGAAGTTAGTCACTCTAGACAGACAGCTCTTGAATATACAGAGGAGTGTGAGCATGCTCACCCAAGATTTCCTGAAATAAATCTTAAAAGCTCACACTGAAAATGATTTATGAGTCAAGCACCGTTCTAAGCACTCCTTTATCTTTGAAGAAACTGCATAGGGTACATGGAAGTCTTATTCCCATTTCATTGATAAGAAAAACTGAGATCCAGAGGAATTAAGTGACTTACCCAAGTTTCAATAGCCAGTAATTGGCAGAACTGAGATTTCAATCTAGACAGATTCTAGAGCAGTGCTGTCCAATAGAAATAAAGTGAGCCACGTATGTAATTGTAAAGGTTTTAAGAGACATATTAATGGTGAAAACGTTAGTTCTTTACTTTGCTAGACCAATATATCAAAATTGTAATGTATTATCAACATAGATATTATCAATATTTTGCATTCTTTCTTTGTGCTAACTCTTTGAAACATATAAATTCATGTAAGTTCATTTGACATAGCAAAACACAATTTTGCATGGTCACATTTCAGGTCTCAATAGTCACATGTGGCTAGTGGATACATACTGGGGAGCACTGCTATAGATAAGAAATAACTAGTAGGCTCTACTGTGAAAACAAAATAGAAATGAGGGAAATCATGTTCTTTTTAGATCATGTCATATCCTTGGGAATCCAAACATGAACCATCAGAAACAAGCAGAGACAGCCTTTTGCAGAACGTTTGAGATGCATTTACAAGGGCTGCAAATTGGCCTCTATTCTATTTTCCTCACCTTCTGTACAATGTTCCTCTTTCTCTGTCCACCCCTTCACTATATGTGTTTCTTAGTGTTTTATCTTTCTTGTTTTACTTCATATGTTTTTCCTGGGTGATCTCCTTTCTCTCAGGGACAATTACCATTTATTCATGGATAGCCACACAATGTGCATTTCCAGTTCTAGAATTTCAGACCCATGCATCTATTGCTGGGTATTCCATTTGCATATTCTACAGTATTTTGAATTCAGGTGTGTACCACCAAATCATCACCTCACCCTTTCTCATTGCCCTGTCTCCTGGCCCACAGACACCCACAACATTCTCTGCATCTTTCACCAAGATGCCCAAGTCCGAAAGTTGCTTCAATTCCAGTTCAATGAACCATCACTGAAGGAGGAGAGTTTTCATGATTCCATTGTCTCCATCCCTGATGTTCCTTAGTTCAGGCCACTATCCCATCCCTATCCTTGATCATAAAATGTTTCCATCTGAGCTCTTCTCCAACGTGATCCCTTCCACCTAGTATTGAGACAGGTTATGTGAAAGTATGTATCTGATCATGTGAACTCCTCCTTAGAGATCTGTGGTGGTGCCCCTGCGCCTTCAGGAGAGAACTCCCCTCTGTGGTGAGCAGGCTGCTTTATGACCAGGTCCTGGTTTGCCTTTCCACCTCCTCTTTGTCCACTCTCTGTCTCCCAATCTACAGCCTTGTCATTCTGGACAAACTTCTGGTGACCAAAAGCTCTGTGGCTGATCATAAAGCTCGGTGTGCACCTCTCTTCTCTTCCTCTGAACTTTGCTGTGTCTATCTAGGTGACTCATTTATTCTTCAGGTCTCAGCTCAAGAGTCTTTTCCCTAAAGCCTTTCATCAAAGCTCTGGTTAGTCACCCCTTGGCTGTATTTCTGTACCACCATGTGTACATTACTATCCTAGAACCAACATTTCACACAGCTGTTTCTTATCTGTCAGTGTTCCACACTAGAATGAACCATGTATCCCTAATACTTATACAGTGCTTGTCATATAGTAAGAATGTAACACTACGTGGGATAAACCAATGGTCATGTCAACTTTTGTATTTGATAATCACATTAATATGCAATTATTCTATTATGTGCAATTTGCTCTAATGGAAGAAGGAAGAAGAGAGTTCTGCTTAGTTTATGCATTTCTAATACCATATTCAGTCCTTTTTATTTTCTTTCAAGTTGGCCTATTGGAAGAGCTCTTTCCTACCTGATAAGCCAACAGCTCCCCTGAGGTAGAAATCTTTATCATCTTGACCCTCTTCATCCTCAGAGGGTAGAGTTCTGGACACAGCAGACTCCAGGTCACGACTGAGGTCATAGTCATGGTCCCACTCCAGGGGGATGGAGTCCACACTGGCAGGCGTGTCTCGTCCCGACCGCTCACTCCGCAGGGGCTGGGCGAGTGAGAGGGAGGGGTTGGAGGAAGGCTGGGGAGAGAGCATGCTGTCTGCAGAGGTGTCACGCCAGTGGAGGTCTGAGAGAGCTGCAGAGTCATCCAGCTCCAGCTCCCGGTCAGAGAGGTCATGCTCATCATCTGGGAGCTAGAAATATAGGCAACCCAACTCCATTACCATAGTGGTCAGATGATGCCCTTACCACTTCTTGTTCTGCTTCTCAGGGTTCAAGCTTATCTGGACCATATTCCTACCTCAGTGGGGGTAATTTATAACTTCCTAACATCGAATAAGTAAGAATCCTTTGATCACTTTCTAAAATGTTGTATAAATTAATCTAGCAAAGCTCCAGTTTTATCACTCGTGAAATGGAAATAATATTGAAATGTACTTCAAATAATTAAGATTAAATAAGATTATGTAAATAAATGCAGCAGAGTAGTGCGCCTGCAACACAATGGGTTCACAATGGCACATTTCAGGAATAAAAGGAAATTACTAGGAAAACTTTACCTGGTCCTTTTTTTACCTTATATCCCAGATGCAAAATATATTTTATCACAGAATATTCCAAATATTCTAATATTTTGTGATGTGATTATGGTAGCTATTAGGAAAGTTGAAGAGAAAAAATTTCAACTAAACAACTTCATCAACTGAGCAACTGTTTTCACTGCTCACTATCATCTCCTTATTTATTCTAGAACCTTCTTTACTTTCCATAGAAGATATCTGCCATGTACTAAGTTTTTTACACATATACTAACTTGTTTCCTATCTGAAGCAATCATCTCTATAAGGTAGGTAGTATTATTAGATCAGTGTTACATTTGAGAACACCAAGGCAAGAGATGTGACTTGCCCAAGGTTATGTAGCCAACACATGTCAGAGCTCAGAAGGGATTCCAGGCATTCTGGCTCCAGAGTCTAGGGTTTTCCCCACTGTCCAGTGCTACCTAACCCTATATAACTAACTCTCTTTAGACTTTGTGACAATGAAAAAAAGAAAAAAAAAAACATCACATACAGGCAGGCGAATCAGTTTCTTATGGTATCTTTCCACACGCCCAAAGACTTCCTGACAGTAACGCCGGAGTTCATCTAGCTCTTCCTCAATGACTGCCGCATCCAAGGGCTCACTCTTTTCTATAAGCTGTTCTCCTTGGGCAATTATGTGCTCAATCTTATTGTGGTTCAGTGAAATTTCTTGCTGGAAGGCCTAGGGAACACAAATCTCCTGTAATTTTTTTATTGTTCGCAGTGACATAAAATAATTATAAGATATATATTTAGAAAAACCATGCAGGGGATATTGAATTTACCATATAGGGTGATAAGCCAAGAGGCTATTACTTTCTAAAGTCAAACATAAAAATTTTAAATCAGAACAGGAGTCAGAAATGGAATCATCAGAATTCCATGACCAGAACGGCGCCTTTGGCTAATAAAATTTACCACCATGGACAGTGTGGGTAGAGAATCACAGAAAAAAAACATTTAAACCCATCATAACATTGATAGTATTGGTTATCCCTAATGAAAAGCAATGGTAAGCAATACAGTGACACTGAAATAAATTTAACATTTTAGAGAGTTAATTAAATATTTTAATTTTAGATTTTCTGATCATATGTCAACCATGACTAAGAGAAACCAACTAAATGATAACTAATGTCACAAATTCTTCTCAGATGATTCTTTTATTATTTTAGGACATAACCAGAAAAGATTATAATTATTTAAAAAACAAGGAATTCTAGAGGATTATTTATACTCGTTATATAAAGCTGAAATGAGTTAAGCTAGTAGGGATAGATTTCAGGGATAAATTTTAATTCAAAACAAGAACAAACTCTAGAAGAGTTGAAATTATCCACTAATGAAAAGGGAGCATGGCGGTAAGTTCTGTGACCCTGCCAGAGTCTAAAAAGAAAAGATTCAACTGCCACTTGGTAGAAATTTCCCGTTGAAGGTTTTAAATATTGGTTTGTCTATGAAACAACTTAGAATAATCAGTGGGGGAGGGATCGGGTATAGGATCAGGGCTCGCTGTAAAAAATTTTTTTACAATTTTTTCATCCTGAGAATCTATTTTACGATTTTTTTTTCATCCTGAGACTTTATCCTTGCATAATATTCAAGTTGTTAAAACACTTTTCCTTTTTAGGGACTCTTTATATTTAATGTGTATCACTCCTATAGAAATTTTTAATTAGTCACTGCATTTGAACTGCATGGTGAAACATAACAATTATGCTTAAAAATTAACTTGGCCTCTAAGGATAGGGAATAATAATGTGGACTGAAATTCCAACATGAGAAAGTTGGAACATGGAGGTCAAATAAGCTATTTGAAGGTGGTAGCAACAAAGCAAAAAAAAAAAAAAGAGAGAAAAGAAAAGAAAAGAAAGAAAGAAAAGAAAAACAGCCAAAAAACAAGATTCCTAACACCTTGGCAATGAAGTTAATAATTTAAAGTATATAGGCTAATGGTAGCGATCTCTGGGTAATGGTCTTTATTTTTTTAAATATATTTTGTATTTTCTGAATTTTTTTTCCAATCAAGAACTAATTTTTTTCAAAAGAGTTCTTTACTATGTTCTTTACAAAAGGATCTACAAATCCCTTCCTCTTCACACCTTCTTCGCAATTTGAAAAATCACTACTATATTACCTTGAGTTGCTTTATTTTAGCTTGAACATCACACTCAGAAAAATGCTCAATATTAGTGAGCTGTAGATCCATCTCTGTCAGCCACACCAGAATGCTGTCCCGTGCAGTCTCAAACTCCTCACGCTGGCCAATGAAATGCTAGATGTGAAAAGAAAATGATAAAAACTAAAGTCCATATGCACATATAGAGATGGTACCACCAATTCCAATGTTCTTATGGGAAGTCACTTTTTCAACAAACAATGTGAACTCTGTAATCCTTTACAATGTAAATTATTATATAAACCACTCTTGCTACCCAATCTTACAAAATCACTAAGATTATGTCTAATGTGTTCAAATGGCCCAATCCTGTCCTCTGGGTCTCTAAGCGAGAGAAGAGGCGTAATTCAGACCTTGAGTCTGCGCAAGATGGAGGTGACACGCTTTTGCAGGTTGTCCCATCTCTGGTTGCCTTCATGAACCATCTGCTTTAGGCTACAAGCAGAATCGGTGCGGTTCTCTCTGGCCAGGCGACGGTACTGCTTGTTGATTAGTTCTAGCTGGGTCAGGCTCTCGTGGACCTGTCGCTGGAAAGCCTAAGACCACAGATAAGCACGCATGTCAGTGAGGGGATCAGTGAAGGGCTCTCAGCGAGAGCACCTGGCCTCATACTGTAGTGACAAGGAAAGGACAATTTCTAATGAGGGTTAATTTTCCCTTGTTAAAGCAGAGTAATATGGCCTGTATGGCTTAAGGAAAGGGTGTAGATCAAACAAAAATATGAAAAAAATTGGTAAATAGTAATAACTATATGTGTATATATACAAATACATATACATGTATAATATATATATATATATTGCTGTATTATAGCTTTTAAAATACTGAACAGCCCCCCAAAATTTTCTCATGAAACAAATGGATTACACAAATATTTATGTGTGCTCAAATGTGAGTCTGAAAGGTTCAAAAATTTCTGATGTCAATACTGAGAAAAGATATATCTGCAAAAGAATTCTCTATTTATGAAAGATGTACTCAAAAAAAAAAAACCAAAAACAAACAAACAAACAAATAAAAAAAGAAAGATGTACTCTAAAAATCCAGAAACTTCAATTCTGATGTCTATTAAAATAATTAAACCCACTTTTTGCAGAATGTGTCTGAATGCGAGCTGTTATATCTTGGGCAAATTTCATAACTGTACTGTCATTTTAATGATTAAAAGTTAAGTTTTTAAATGATTAAAATGTTGTCCAATCCACTTATGGCTGTTTAGTTTTGAGGTTATCCTATGTACACTTTAGAGTTTCAAAAGGTAAAAGACTCTTTCTTCTTTCTCTCTGCAATATAGCATGGTTCTATCATAAGAATCATTTAGTCAAAATAAAATGAAGCTATTTTTTTCCAAATTCATGTGTATGATTTATGACTGGTGTTTATCCTGACACTGGACAGAAAACTGTACAGTCCAGCAGTCTGTACTCATCTAAATCACAAAACTCTGCTTCCTTTGGCTCATTACACTGTTTATATACTACTACATCTGTGCCTCTGATATGGCTTTCCTTCTGAGAGTTGCTTTAAGAGACTTGGTCTTAGTAAGTCTAATCTCCAATTCAATAAAACAACTTGAGTTATTTCCCCAGAAGAGGAAGAAGGAAGGGAAGTTCAGCTTTAGCCATTACTGGGAGTCATAGAGTTTGTTTTCCCACTGGAGCAGTGATAGGCACCACAAGTGGGTACCCAGACCCATCTCAAACTGTTATTATTTGAACAGGAAAAGGGTGTCCTCGAACAAAATCTTGTTTTTTTTTTTAATTTATTTCTGTCTCTCAAGAACATTAACTAAAAAGTAAATGATAAAATCATTTATGATAGAAGCTAGACATATGGCTAACTTTTGCCATAAAATCTGAGAGTCTAAAATAGCATCAAAAAGGACCAGACATAATCTGCTTTGTAGTGTAAGCCAATTACAGAAGGTTTTAACCTTTATGAAGCAGAGCATAATAAGACGGAGTACATGAATACCTCATTACCACTGGTTCATGCCAGGAGGACCTGAACTCCACTGCATAGTGGCTCTTCACTAGAAATTTTCCAAGAGAAAACATTTTAGATATGAAATTATTTTCCTGGAATTTAGTGGGCTTGTTACACATAAATCCATATTCAGACATCGGGATAACTTTTACTTATTTTACACAGTATTTGAACATTTTTATAGATTTCTATAGCTGCTCATCTAGGACTCTGATTTTAAACCCCACAAGCAAAAAGCCAAACTTCATATTTATTCTGACAGGCCTCAGTAAATGCCAGGCAAACTGACATTACAAGGTAAAAATAAATTCAACTGGATTTGGTTTGATTTTTAGTCTTATTTTTAATCATCTCAGGGAGCTTGGGGGCAGAATTAGCAACCAAGAATGATCTTTGTAAGACACACACATCAGGACGTTGCTGTCAATATCTATGGGTACACACCTGCCTGTCAGAGGGAAGTGAAGGGAAAAGAAACTTCAAATTAAAACATGGTGAACTTTAGACTCTGTCAGGTCCTCTGTGGAAGTGAGAGGCAGCTGTTAGGGTTGTTATCATCCCATGGGGATAGAGTAGACCGAGATCACACAAATAGGCAGTACACTGAAGTCAGTTACTGAGCGGGGCCTTCATGAATATGATTATACTATTGCTGTTTTTGTCTCTGTAACTGAAAAGTCTTGGGGATCCAAGGATGGCATCGTTCTTCATTTGTCATTAGAAATGGCTTATGATTAAAAGTATTTTATTTAATTCTGGAGCCAACTCTACATTACAATGATTGTATATCTATATCTATCGATCTATCTATCCACATCTATTCTCTAATTATAGATAAAATAAAAATCAAGAAAATATATTTGGAAGAGAGATTACAATGATTGTATATCTCTATCTATCTATCTATCTACACATATCTATCTATTTATATACACATCTATTCTCTAATTATAGATAAAATAAAAATCAAGAAAATATATTTGGAAGAGAGATTTTGATAGTATAGAACATCATATTTTCATCTTAGATGGTGGATAGCAAAAAATTATGAAATTTTAAAAAAAGCCAAGATCTTTTTTTGGGAATCATGATTTGTGTTTTGTAACAGAATTTCTTGTCATCATGACTTTATTTGTAATTCATGAGAACTTAACATAAAGCCCTCTTTTTCCCCCTTCTTTGCCCGTGTATGAGGCAGTAATAAAGATGACCACAAAGTCATCATCCAACTGTTTCAACAAATAATGTGCAGATGAACAGTTAGTTTATGTCTTGAGACACCAACTACTAACTGGCTATACTCATAGCAAAATAAGGGCCAAATATTTAGAATTATAAATCACCTCAAATTTCTTTAGTTCTTCCTTGGCAACTGTATAGAGCACCCCAGAAGAGCTGGGGAAGGCAGCTGTCCTTTCTGAAATCTTGAGCCAATCTTCAAAACGAGAATAATCATCGAGAAACTTCTGCCACAATCGCCATGTCTCTTCAATTCTGAGACAGAAAACGAAAAAACAGTTTCTGATTGTTTGAGACTGTTGATGCTTTAGAACTCTAATGCCTGCAATAGGATTAAGAGTGCCCAAGCAAGCAACTATTGTGCCAAACAATAACTGTGCCGTCCGCCAAATTTGACCAGAGTGAAAAAGGGACAACTGTCTGAGCAAAATGAAACAGCTGTGAGTTTGGAAATTTTTTTTTTTTTGTTATTTGTGTTTTTTTTTTTTTTTAAATACACATCCTGAAGCTCTGGATTTGGAATTAGTAAAATTATGTATTACAAACATATAAAACCCGAACTGTTCTGTATACATGCAAGGGAGCTCAAAAGTGCAGTGCCATGTTTGCAGGGCACACTCATGCTAAGTTTCCACTGAAATTAAACCAGAGTCTCAAGCTGCATGTAGGTCCAACATCAAACTCACCCTCACTAAAATTAATCAACCTATCACAGCAAGACAAATATTAACCTTTCAAGAGTTCTCCAAACAGTAGACAAGATGATTTTCTAACCCACTACTATTTATTACTGCCTAGAATTTCAAAGGGCTTTTCCAAAACCTTTAAATTTCATTTTTATGTAATTAATATTACTTTTCACACCACCAATTTTTTAACAATATACTTATTCGAGGGCGTATTTTTATTTTTCTGAATTACATTTAAACTATTAGGTCAGGCATAATTGTTTCATAATATACAGTATATTATATTTGTATATAGTAAATTTATATATAGTAACTCCCCCCATCTATGAAGGATCCATTCCAAGACTCTGTATAGATGCCTGAAACTGTGGATAGTACTAAACCCCTGTATATACTATGTTTTATCCTAGACATACATATAATAAAGTTTAAACTATAAATTAGGGACAGTAAGAGATTAACAATAACCAATAATAAAATAGAACAATTATAATAGTACACTGTAATAAAAGTTACATGAATGTGGTCTTTTTCTCAAAATATCTTACTGTACTGCATTGACTCATCTTTTTTATTTTTTCTTAAGATTTATTTATTTGAGAGAGCAGAGGAAAGAAGTAAGATTGTGGGGGAGGTGCAAAGGGAAAGGGAGAAGTAGACTCTCCACTGGGCAGGGAGTCCGACCACATGACACATGGAGCTCCATCCTAGAACTGATCATGGCGTGAGCTCAAAGCAGAAGCCTAGGTACTTAACTGACTGAGCTACCCAGGCACCCCTGCATTTACCCTTCTTGTGATGATGTGAGATGATAAAATGCCTACATGATGGATGAAGTTATGTGAATGGCACAGGTGTTGTGACTAGTGTTAGGCTACTGTGGATCTTCTGACCCTACCCCAGAAGGAGTATCCTCTGCTTCTGGATCCTGCTCGACCATGGGCAACTGACACCATGGAAAGAGAAAGTATGGATACCGTAGGGGGGGAAACTATGGTATGACCTTTATGCTTACTTGTTTTCCCAGCTAAATGTAGATGACGGCAACTTTGGAAAATCAATGCTCCCTTTTTTTTTTTTCTCCTTTTGGACATTACAACCAAAATGAAATAGTAAACAGTGAATACTCTGGGTAGGTTTTTTTTTTTTTCCTTCTATTTCTGGTCCTTCCTCTTTCCCAGCTCTTTGAACCTGCCCACTTACTTGAGCCTTCTTTCCATGGACATGGCACAGATATTTCTCCAACGCCGGTCCAGGTTTCGCGTCGCCTGCTGGATGGAATCACACTCTGCATCCGTGGCACAGGCATCACAGTCATGAAGCAGGACCTCACATAAGTTGAGAACAGAGGCCACGCCTGTGCTATGTTTCTCAATGTCTCTCTGAAGCTCCTGTGGGGAATGAGACATGCTTTATTAGAATACTTGGATACAGATGAGAAAATCTCTCCTTTCCTTGAATCCATGAGGTTTCTTCAATGTCTTTTATGAAATATGGCAACCAAAACAGGAGAAAACAAATCTAGAGATATTTTGGCTATGTGAGCAATGCCAAAATATAAACGGAACAAGTGAAATAGACTACGTTAATTGTATTAAGCGTAAAGTTAGCCACATGGGCTATCATTCCATTTATTTGTATCTTCTTCAATGTCTATCTGATTCTTACAGTTTTCAGTGTAGAGATCTTTAAACTCCTTTGTTAAATTTATTCTGAAGTATTTTATTGTTTTGGATGTTATTGTAAAGAAATTATTTTCTTTTTTTCACATAATTCATTGCTAGTATATAGAAGTGTAACTGATTTTTGTATGTTAAATTTTTATTCTGCAATTTTACTGAATTTATTAGTTCTAAGAGTTTTTTAGTGGAATCTTTAGGACTTTCTTTACATAAGATTATGTCACCTACAAAGACAATTTTATATCATCCTTTTTGATTTAGATGCCTTCTATTTTTTTCTTCTCTGATTACTCTATCTAGGAGTTTGAGTACTATGTTGAATAGGTCTGGTGAAGAGTGGGCATCCTTGTCTTGTTCGCATCTTAGGTGAGAAGCTTTCAGCCTTTCATCACTGGGTATGATGCCATATAGTCTTTATTATATTGAAGTGTACTTCTTTTATATACTCACTTGGTTGAGAATTTTATCATTTGAATTTTGTGAAATGCTTTTTCTGCATCTATTGAGATATTTTTATACTTCAGCCTAGTAATGTAATGTATCACATTTATTTTTATATGCATTTCAACTAAATCATGGTGTATGATCCTTTTAATGGGCTATTGAATTTGGTTTGCTAGTACTCTGTTGAGAATTTTTGCATCTACATTTATTCATGAATATTGGCCTGTAGTTTTCTCCTCTTGTGTTGTCCTTATCTGGCTTTGGTATCAGGATAATGCTGGCCTTATAAAATGAGTTTGAGAGTGTTTCCTTCTCCTTAATCTTTTGGAAGAGTGAAAAGAATTGGCTTTAAATGTTTGGTAGATTTCACCTGTGAAACCATCTGGTCTTGGAGTTTTCTTTTTTGGGAGGATTTTGATGACCAATTCAGCCTTCTTACTCATTTCTAGTCTGTTCATATTTTCTTTTTTTTTTTTTTTAAGATTTTATTTATTTATTCATGAGAGACATAGAGAGGCAGAGACATAGGCAGAGGGAGAAGCAGGCTCCCCACAGGGAGCCCAATATGGGACTCGATCCCACAACCCAGGATCACGGCTTGTGCCAAAGGTGGACCCTCAACCACTGAGCCACCCAGGTGTCCCATATATTTTCTATTTCTTCATAATTCAGTCTGGTGGGTTGCATGTTTCTAGATATTTATCCATTTCTTCACGGTATGCTATTGTGATCCTTTGTATTTCTTGTAATCTCTCCATTTTCATTTATAATTTTATAGATCAGACGGTGCTACTGGCTGGACTCTGTGACTGGGTAGAGCTATAGGCTGGGCTCTGCAATCACTCCTGGTTAGGTAGGATAGCAAGCTGTGATCTTAGATCAGACGGTGCTACTGGCTGGACTCTGCATTCAGGTAGAGCCACAGGCAGGGCAGGGCAGTTAGACTGGGTCTCAGGTTGTGTTCTTGGATTACATAGGGTTGCAGGCTATGCCCTGGAATTGGGTGAGGTGATAGTTTGGGCTTTGCTTTCAGGTGGGCCACTGGCTGTGCTACTCTATTGGGCAAGGTCACTGACTGGGCTCTCTGATAAGGAGGGACCCTCCAGCTATATTCCAAAGTGTGTGGAGCTAGAGACTATGCTCCATGGTTGAGCTGGGTCACTGTCCTGGCTTCCTTGTCAGGTGGGGTCACAGGCTATGCTTGGTGATTGGTTGGGGTCACTGGCAAGGCTGCCTGCCTGAATAAGGTTGCAGGCTGTGTTTAGTGATCAGACAAGACCAGAGGTTGGATTGCACTGTTGAGTGGGGTTGTCATCTGGGCTCCATGGCTGGCTAGGTTGTAGGCTGGACTCTGTGGCTAGGCAAGGATGTAAATTGATATCTGAGGTTGTCCAGGGTCACTGTCCAGACTCCCTGATTATATGGGGCCAGAGGCTATGCTCAGCAGTTGGGTAGGGCCGCTGGCTTAGCTCCCTTCTCAAGCAGGGCTGTTGGATGGGTTCCGGGGCTGCCTGGGTTCTCTGGCCAGACCTTCTGGTGAGGAAGGATGAAGGCTATGCTCAGCTGTTGGGCGGGGCTGGGAATTGGCTTCCCTGCCCAGGTCAGATGGTAGAAAAGGTCTCCAAGGTTAGTATGGCCCATTGTCTGGGGACTCAAATCACGCAGAATTGCCAAGTGAACTCCCAGGTCAGATAGGGCCACTGGCTAGGCTCTGCTGATGGGCAGCACAGGCTGGAATCTTGGCTTGGGTGCAGCTGCAAACAGGAATGCAGTCTGCCAAGATGTGAGTGCTGGTTGCAGTTAAGCCTCAGCCCCTGTCTTCCTCACTAACTGATCCCCAGTAGTCAAGCCACACAAGTTCCCTTAGTACTCCCCATGAGTTGAGACTAAGACTCCTGGGAAGGGTGGGGCAGCCGGGGGAGCTAGATGCCCATTTTGGTCAAGTGGTGCCCTCTTGGTACAACTCTGTGACAGCCAGGAAGGATTTTTGCGGTCTAAAGTGTGACCACTTCTCTTAATCTTTTAACGTGGTCCTTCCTGGTCTCTGGGGTCCAGGCTGGTGCTTCAATCTTACCCTTGGGTTTTGGGAGTTTTACAGAGGTCTTTTGTCTATAGAGAGTTCCTTGTTGGTGAGGGGAACTTAAGTCAGAGATAACCTATATAGCCATACTGATGATGTCATTTCTCCACATACTTTTGGATCTACCCCAGTGCAGAAACTCATGGGGAGACCACTGTGGTAACCAGGGTGAGGATATAAAAACCAGAACTGTAAACTGATGGATTGTTGGAGGCTCAGTGTAGACAAAAAAGATAAAAATTCCAGATGAGCTAGTCAATGGATGGAGGAGCCTGCACAATTTTTTGAAATTTACTCGAGGAGATCAATCAGGTTCCCATAGTAAATATCACAGAAAAGACCCCTTGCTCATCTGCTCAAAAGGTTTTGTTAAAATTAATTATATGAAATAAGCTTGAAGAGGGTTATAATTATTATCCATATAATTATGGATAAGCTCTAGTACAGATAAAGATTTCAGTCTTAGCTTTAACCTCCATTGGTAATGATCCTGACTTGACACAGTGTCTGAATCTGTACTTCTTCATCTATAGCACAGAGAAATTTGACAAGATGTTCTCTGAATCATCTATGTATATTCTATGTATATTTCTGTCCAATTAAGTATGTAAGAATTAACTACATTGGCAAGAGAAACATACAGAAATACTAAAGAGGAGAACAGAAGAAAATGTATTTCTTTTGAGTGTAATCTCTTTTTAAATATTTAAGAGAATCTTCCTCTTTGGAGATAGATTACTATTTTTTTACAGCATGGATCCCAAAGGCTACAATTTTTACAGAATCATGGTTAAACATCTGCCACAAAGGAAACTGCAGTGAATATGATAGGATTGACATAAAATTTACTAAGTATGGACTTTGTGCTTGGTGCTGTGCTAAGTGCTTTTCACATTAATTTTTATAATAATACTGTGAGCCATGTACTCTGATTATCAGCATTCTATACACATGGGGGTTAAAATGGTTCACTATTCAGGTCATGCAGAAAAGTGGTGAAACCAGATTTGAACCCAGGGAGCCCTTACTTTTAACCACTGATACAGAGTTATTTTTTCAACTTTAACTTTAAATTAAAAGGCAGTATGAACATATATTAATTAGTCAAAAACTACTACTAAGTTTCCAGTGAAATAGTTCCCTTTTCACTCCTGATTCTCATTTTCCAGAAAACCTTTTCTATCTCTTGTATCTCTGTCTTCTGGTTTTAACTTCCATATTTATAAGTGGCATGTTTATGTTGCTAATTCTTGATTTTTAAATTTTAGACATTATCTATGCTTCTATAGTAGAGACAGAATACACTTCTACCTGACTCACATGGCTCCAGTTACTGTTTGAGCACATCTTATAGCTGGAGCAATAATGATTGTTTGACTGTGGTTATTTAATATGGTTACTTAATATTTTTCATATATGAGCAACAAACTATACTATGGTTATATTTCTTTTCTTACATAACTTTTTGTGTTTATGGAACTAGTAGCTCTCTCGTAATAGAGTTCAACTGTCTTACTCCTTGGAGACATCCCTCCTGTAGCACCCAATGCCTTACTTCAGTCTGAACAGAGGTGCTCCAGGCTGCACGACAGCTGGCATCTGGGACATTCCTGTTCCTTCACCATCTGTCCTGAGAGTTTGCTTCTCTCTCTTGTGTAGAATATTCTTCTTGTTTTTGTTTCAGTATGTACATCTTTCATTAGCTTCTTCAGAACGCATGTGTAGGAGGTTAAGTATTTTATATATTAAATGGCAGGTACAGTGCTCTAAATTATAAATAATTTTCTCAGTTTTTTGAAGGCATTGTATCATTATCTTTTTGCTTCCACCATTATTTTGGAGAAGTCAGACTTTTTCATCTTGGAAACCTTCAAGATCTTCTCTTTGTCTCCCATGTTTTGAAATTTTATAATGGTTTTGCCTTGTTTTTAATTTTCCTGGGCATTTGTAGGACTTGTGCTCTAGAAGCACAGTTGATCCATGAACAATGTGGGGGTGGAGGTTGCCAATTCCCCACACAGTTGAAAATCTGAATATCACATTTGACTCTCCCAGAACTTAACTACTATTAGCCAACTGCTGACTAGAAGAGGCCTTTCCAAAAGCATAAATAGTCGAATAATAAATATTTTGTACGTTATATGAATTATATACTATATTTTTACATTAAGCAAGCTAGATAAAAGAAAATTGTAAGGGAAAGTAATCCACAGTACTGCATATTTTATTGCATAAAAAAAATCCACATATAGGTAGGCCCACACAGTTCAAACCTGTGTGGTTCAAGAGTCAACTTTACACATTTTTCAGTTTGGGAATTTTTTTTTTACATTACTACATTAATAATTTCTTCCTCTCTATTTTCTTTCTTTCTTTATTATTATTTTTTTTGTGAGGGGCTTTTATGGAATAACTAATTGGATTTTAAAACTCTTGCATTAACCTTGGCTGTAATATAAGACTGGCTAAGGGGATCTCTGGGTGGTTCAGTGGTTTAGAACCTACCTTTGTTTGGCCCAGGGCATGATCCCGGAGTCCCAGGATCGAGTCTCACATCAGGCTCCCTGCATGGAACCTGCTTCTTCTTCTGCCTGTGTCTCTGCCTCTCTCTCTCTCTCTCTGTGTGTGTGTGTGTGTCTCATGAATAAATAAATCTTAAAAAAAGAAAAAAAGACTGGCTAGTGACATGGTGGGAGCTGAGGCAATGGGGTAGGAGTCATACATACCATTTGGTACAGAGCATCTTATTTAATCTCTTTATTTTTCATATAGTGACTCCAGCCTCATTGGTGCCCTGTAGCCTCAAACCCAAAGTCCCTCTGGTTTGCCTTCTCCAGAGAGTAGTCCTCGGGTCTTCCACTAGAGTGAATGAGGCAGAGTTGCCTGGCTAGCTGGGATTAGGGGGAATCTGCCAGTCAAACCACTCCTTATTCAGACTTTCAAGCAATCTTCCATTTAAAAACCCTACAGACTTACTCTCTCCACTCCCTGAGCCTTCTTGGAATTCTGTAGCATGAATCAGCTTTTTCCATCCTCCAGTCTGCTAACACCAGTAACTATTCATCTATCCACTTCTGCCTCCCAAAATTCTGATGGATGTCTGTCATCTTTATCATCTTCTTTCCTGGTCTCTTTGCCATTGTGGGTCTTGACCTCCCCGCCCTTTCCTATCATTTTATTGAGGTTTAGAACTAGGTAAGGCTATAAATGCATATGACAGATTTGCCATATTTAATTAGATACTGTTTTGATTTTCTTACATTTGCTAAATTATAATAATGGCTATTAGGATTTTAACTGTTTTTAACCAGTTCTCATTGGTAGATACCATTACCATGTTCTCCAGGAATATTCGAGGAGCTGGAGGCCAACTATAACCCCAACAGCTCAATTAATCAAATTTCAAACATGAGAGAATCCATCACAGGGCTTTACTCTTACAAACCTGGAAAAATGTTCTGCTATCAATTTTTTTAAAACAAAGAAATGCAAAAAAAAAAAAAAAAAAAAAAAAAGAAATGCTACTGAAATAATCCCAATATCTAAAAACTGTATTTTAATATCTATTTGCATTGGTTTAAATAGTTTGTAAAATAAAGTACATGAACTATTTCATAAGATTTCATAAATAGGCCTGTATATATTTTATAGTATTTTTAAGTTAAGAAACTTGGCTATAATGGCCTAAATGCAATGGAAGTAACCAGAGTGTGGATAGGTTAGATTGTTAGGAGAATCTAACAGCATGGAGTAGCAAAATTTCTCAGGGACGATTTATGGTATTTACTACTAACAACTGGGGTCTGCTAAGCTTAGTAAAATCAAGGAAGGGAAAAAAATGAGGAAGGGGAATAGGAGTTAAAAGTCCTTTGTGTATGTATTTTTCATGGCCACTCTTTTTTACTTTTTGGGGTAGTTTATCATATGCCAGTGTGTTGTGTTGTCTTTGCTACACACATGAAGGTAAAATTACAGTCTGTGGTTGGCAGGTCATGAAACACTCCTTGCAAAACAAAATTGTTGTATACTCTAAAAACTCTAAGAATACCCTGTAATATTTCTTCAAACAGAATATGCAGGAAAAAAAGGCTCTTATCTATGTATATAGTAGTTGGCTCATGACCCAGAAAGAAATAAACAAAACGTCAGCACTGTTATGGATACATCATGGCAGCTCAAGCAGCTCCTGATGTCTTATTGGTGGACTGACGGCATCAACCCTATGAGACCATATCTTCTAGACTCGACATGGGACCCATTTGTCCCAAACACCTGTCCTGCCCAAGCCTCTCCTTTCTCAGCAATCCTGTCTAGCTTCCTCCTGATTTTCCATCTCGATTAACCATCTCACGTCTGCCTCTGTAGCCTCATCAGGAGCGCAGATGTTCAAGAGCCTACTTACTTCCTTTGGTTGTTTTAAGTTTTACCTGCTGCTCAGTAAGCTTTTTCTGTATTTCATCCGAGTCACAGGAATCATAGACTATGGGCTTGGCCAGCTCTGACTCGATGTGAGCCAGCCACGTCCTCAGGCTGCTCATGTTCTTATCCAGCTGCTGTACGGCAACCAGGGTCTCCTTCAGCTTCTTTACCCTGTGGGCAGAGGAGAGACTTTACCCTCAGTGAGAGGCTTCACTCAAGTGTTTCTTGTGGGCAAAAGTGAGCACTGGATTTAAAGCTTTTGGCCTAAAGCCAAAGTCCAGCCTAGCTCAGCCACTCAGTGTCTGGGTGACTTCCGGCAATTGCACACCCTTCCTGTGTCTCTGTTTCTTCATCTATAAAAATTAAAGTAAAGAAAAAATATCTGTGAGATTTTAATGAGTTGAATAATACATGGTCCATGGGAAACATTCAATAAATACCAGCTATGATGATGCTCTACATAGTATAATGATATAACAGTGACAGAAACCTCATAGTGTCATAAAAATTATTATTGACACACATTATGTAATTTATACTCCTATGAAGAATACCTGGGAGGAAAAAATGAACATTTCCAATGGATTTTCACCAAACAAATCACAAATTCACAGTTCTGATTAGTCCTGCCCTGGTGGGATGTATTTCAGCACCCTCGTGGCAGAAACTCAGTTAATAGAAGAAAGCACACTTAAGATGAACCATCAGTGAGTGATCATACATACTTAATGCCAGATCACATCAGAGGAGCATTTGGGCTGCAGGTGGTAGAGGGAAGATACAAAGCCAACCATCGTCCAGTCTTCACCCATGAAGCCTTGTTCAGTGCACTATTTGCTACACAGCAGGTTTAAAAAAAATTTTCCCCGTTCTTTCCAGGAAAGAGTAAAAGCCAATTTGCTTAAGACTGCCACTTAGATCTAACAATCATGTGTGAATATTCTATGTGTCAGATGCAGGGAAGACAGAATAATTAAGACTTGATTATTTTCCTAATGAAATGTACAATCTGACTCAGAATCTGGAGACAGAAACAATGGAATATAACAGTGTGGTAAGAACTAAACTAAAGAGATGAACCAAGTACCCTGGCTAATAAAAAAGGAGGGATTGATTCCATCTGGCTGCTTTCAGTAACCATTCACTCATCCATTCCCCATTTGCTCATGTCTGTATTCCTTCTACAAACATCTATGATGCTAGGTAGACAGGTGTTAAGGGACAGAAATACAGTGATGAAGTTTCATCCCTGCCACTGAGGAAATGAAGTAACATTAGAGCTGCATCTTGAAAGAGGTGGATATAAGCCAAGCTGAACATTTCTGGCCTAGGAAACAGAGAAGAAGAGAAGAGATTCTGAAGGCACAGTGTTATAATGTCCAGGGCACTGGGGAGGGTGGGGAGGGTGGGGAAGAGAAGCAGAAGAGGGTTGCAGTTGCACTGGGGCAAGACAAATGGACAGCCTGAAGTAACATTATACAGGTCTTGTGGTAACATGACAAAGGTTTTGTGTGGAGTTGAAAGATAAATAGGAACTTTGCCAGGATGTGTTAGCCAAGGAATATGATAGGATCTGTCCTGATTTTGAATGTATAAGTTTGAAGTGAGGTTCATGTGGAAGTCCACTCAGGAAGTCAACAGAACAGCCCAAGCATCAAAAGCCTATAGCTTGGGGGTGTTACACGCAACTGATAAATTATTGAACACTACATCTGAAATGAATGATGTACTGAATTTAAATTAAAAAAAAAAAAAGCCTATGCTTGGGAAGCCAGGGATAGAGGTGAGGCGGGATTGCTAACTTCATGAACTGACATGAGAGGAGGCAGAAGGAGTTAAAAATGATGTATTTTCCAGCTAGGTAACTAGATGGATGCTGCCATCTTAGAGAATACAAGATGAGGAGCCAGTTCATGAGATTAATGGTATAGGAAGTTTACAGTATGATGAGTCTGGAGGATAAGGTAGACATGTATGGAAGGTTCTTAGGTTCATAGATCCAGAGGAGAGAACAGAGTTTATTCCATTGCTTTAGGGATTGTTGGCACAGAGTGAGGTCTATGAAAGGATGCGTTTCATCCTGAAAGGGAATGGATGGAAAGAATGGATTTTAAAAGGCTGGCTAAAGAAGGAGGAATCAGAGACAATGGGAGAATCAGAAAGGAAGAAGGTGAACCAGGAAAGTGTGGCATGTAACTAAAGACAGGAAAAGCTTCAAGAAGGAAGGGTGGGTAGGGGGTAAGATTGAGGTTGCTTAAGCGTACAAACTTGCAACAAGTAGTAAGTAAACTAGTGAGATTTAATGCATGAGAAATGAATAAAAACAACAATCTTGTGCTGGAATTATGTAATGTGATAAATACTGATACAATGGTAACCATATTATAACCTATAAATGTCTCAAAGCAACATATTATATACCTTAAATTTATACAATGTCGTATGTCAAATATATTCAATAAATTTTTTTTAAAAAGTGTTGGTTTAACTAGAAAAAAAAAGTGTTGGTTTAGTGTTATCTGAATATCCCCTTGATTAGATTCATCTGGTTTGCCTCATATAAATGCAGACCACCAGCTTGATTCCAGGCCAGTTCTCTTGAATCAGAACCTTTGGGGATGTAATCAGGGAACCGGCACAAGGACTCCAGATAAGTCTTGTACATACTAAAGCTTGAGGACCACTGTTCTACTTTGTCAATGCACAGCAGGATAGTATAATGAGACCTAAAAACAATGCACTTGGGTTAAGAAATACACTTATTGGTAAAACAGTATGTTAATTATTTTTAAAAATTAGGCAGTGAAGGTGAGTAAATATGGCATGAAATCTGTGGAATGATGTGGCTACCAGAAAAATTGATTTTTTTTTGTTTTGTTTAATGTAGTTTAGTATTTGGAATAACTTTAGAATTTTAAAAAAAGATTTATTTAGTTATTTTAGAGAGAGAGAGAGTGCATGTACACAAGTGCGGGAGGGGTAGAGGAAGAGGGAGAGAATTTCAAGCAGACTCCCTACTGAGTGCCTAGCTCAATCTCATGACTCTGAGATCATGACCTTAGCCAAAATCATGAGTCAGAAGGTTAACCGACTAAGCCACCCAGGCACCCCAAATTTGGAATGTTTTTAAGAAGAAAAGAAAGGGAGATGGAAAGGAGGAGAAAAATGACAGCTGAATGCAGATGATGGAGCAAGGATGCAGAGGAGACAGGGTCAAGGGCATAAGGCAGGGGTAGTTTTGAAAGGTGCAGGGGGTAAGCAGGAGTTTGGGAGGGACACAGCTAGTATTTCTCAGCTCCATTATTATCAAGTAATAGCTAGCAGCAAAAAATCCATGACTGAGTTCCTGGTGCAGGTCTGACATGGCTGAGTATCCATAGATTGCTCTAAAGAGAAAGGTGGGGATCCCTGGGTGGCGCAGCGGTTTAGTGCCTGCCTTTGGCCCAGGGCGCGATCCTGGAGACCCGGGATCGAATCCCACGTCGGGCTCCCGGTGCGTGGAGCCTGCTTCTCCCTCTGCCTATGTCTCTGCCTCTCTCTCTCTCTCTCTCTCTCTCTCTCTGTGGCTTTCATAAATAAATAAAAATTAAAAAAAAACTTTAAAAAAAAAGAGGAAGGTGATGGGGGGGTAATGAGCACATGACCAATGATTTCCTGGTACAGTTCTATTTAAAATTCACTTCTGCTTTTAGACCAGGAATCCTGCCTCAGGTTCAGGAAATGTGGTCACCTTAATGACGGTGCTTTATAATATAGATGAATGCAGATAAGCAAAAGACTTCAATGTCTGAGGTATCACTTGGCTCAATGGAAGAGGTATCTACCCCCCCCCCCCAAAAAAAAAGGTCAAGAGCAACACGGCTTTTAGAACTCTACGAATGTGATATATTTCAAGACAGGAATCTGCAATAGTAAGTTCTAAGACTAACAACCGACCCACAAAGTCATCAAGTATTTCTCAGCTCTGTTACTTTCAGGTAGTAGAGAGGTGATTCTCAAGCTGGGACTGTTACAGGATCACTTAAGGGTGCTTTCAAGACCCAGATACCAATGTCAACTCTCTTCCTGCCTCCCCTAAGGACTCCCTGGAGGCTTAGGCTGCCTTGGTCAAGAGTCATGCTCTGAAGAAAATGTCTCATAACTGTTTTTTGAGCATTTTCCTTTCTTTTTAATGACTTAAAACTGATATCACCATTTCTATGTTTATAAACCAATGTTTCTCTCTCAAATGAAAATCTAAGCATGATACAATCTCTTTGCAACACAGATGCTTTTAAAAGGAATTTCACTATGATTGGTTATTAGTAATAATACCTGTATTTCATTAATTATATAGTGCCTATATCTGAAAAATGTTTTCTGTTTATAAAGGCACTCTTAGGCATTACCTTATATTGTTTTTGAAAAAAATGTGTGTTTAAAAAAATTACATTCATATGCCACAATATAGTCTACTGACAGGAAACCAAAATCATGTGTTGCTCTGTTTCATGACTTAGAATTCCATTCAAGGTAAGACTTCTCTAATTAGCTTTGTAAAGTACAAATTGTACCAGCCCCCAGGGAACTTCAAATATTGGCCTTGCATAAAAATTCCAAGAATATTTACCTACAACTTACTCACATATTTTTCACATATAAGACAAAATTCACTTGCATGTCGGTCAGTGAATAACGGTTTTAGAATGTCTCCTGGGTGCGAAGCTCTGGGTACACATTTTGAAAATGATTCTGGTAAGGGCTCACAACTTGACATGAACCTGGACATCCTGCATTAGTGGCCCAAACTAAAAAGACAATCTACAATTAATAAACACATGGGAACGGGACTACAGAAGGCTTGTTGCACTGAGATGCCTGTCCTGTTTTTACCTCTGTAAGAAAGTTCTTTTGGGAACCTCTGCCACTGGACCAGCTTCCTGTCTTCAGACTTGGTAGGATCTGCATGCTGACCATGCTTTTCGGGATAGGGTTTTATAGGAACCTCAAAATATTACCAGGATTTTGTGTGGAGCTAGAGACCGGAAGAATACCTCATTCAGTGCTTGCTTCCTTCTTTCCCTTATTTTAACTCCCTGGCATTGCTTATACACCAGTTCCTCTCCTCATCTTAAATTCCTTGGAAAACTGGAACTGTGAATTTCTACTTTTGGTTTTCCCTTCCCCTGCAA